TGAAGGATGCTTCCTAAAAAGGTGCAATTTGTTCTTGTTAATTAAAGGAAGCGACCGCATCTCAAACTACACTCCATGTGTAGACTAGAGAGACTCGACGCAGACCTGGTCGTATTCATTTCATAAATAAATTTCAAGAATTTGTTAACTTTCCTCGGGCATGTTGATTTGCCAAATTAATAATAATTCTGTGTGTAAATATGTAATTGGCTTTTTGATAAACCATAAACTCTAGAACTTGGCATTGTGGTTATATTGTGGTTGAGTTAGAGCATTATGAGAGGATTAGAAAGGACGTAAAACGAAACCCGACACGTGCCGTGGTTGTTGCGTTGAAGGCGTATTCTACAAGTTATTAGTTAACATAGCTACGGCTATATAAGTATAAGTTCAAGGCTTAACAACTATTGTTGTTCTATTTTTGTGATTGGCTCCGGTTCGTGTAATATGTATTGTTTATTTTTTGTTAATTTAATTGAGAAATAGAATAGACCATAGAAATATTAATAATATTAATAGTACACACATATTATTAAAAATAATTAATTAATTATTAAAATCATTTTGTAGAGATGAGTTGCCTGCTGACTGCCACACTTACGTAGTTCGAGCTCTATCTGTAGTCAATTTTGAAGACTTTAAATATCCTACTATTACATTACCTACTACTACATTGATATATTTCACAAAATGGGCGAAACGGCCTTCAGTTTCCATTAAAGATTTCGACTACTTTTCAAAGTTGGTAAAAAACATATTTCTTATATAAAAAGTAAATATTAAAGCTGGTGTAACTTACAATTTTCAAAGATAAATATATCAGTTTTCATACGCACGTGAACTTCATTTGCTCAATCTGAACTTTCTATTAAAATATTTATTTTTAAAATTTTTCTGTACAATTTGTTCTTGGCTCGCGTTGGTGCAAATATTTGAAACTTGAAAACATTGAACCTCAAACTGTATTAGAATCCAACTTATGAAAATTAAATTACGTGACTCATGAAGTCCAGCGAAGCCACCGCAAATATTTCTAAATTGAATTTCGCAGAAAATACGAGATTGAAATGCAATCAAAATTACGAGATACTCATACCCAGGAGACTTGGACTTTGTTGCGTAGTGCTGTTACACTAAACTAATTGAATTAAGGGGCAGCGAAGTTGACAAGTGGCGCGCAATTGATTTCATTATGAGCAAATTGCGTAAGAAATTTAAAGATGCGAGAGGAAATGAGGGAGTATAGGAGTATAGGCCAACTTGTTCAGTTGTCTCCTTGGAGTACATGCGATCGATTTAACCTGCCTGGTGCAGTGCTTGAAATCGAAGTCTCCTTCACCGTTGTTCGACCCGTGTACCAAATCAGCTTTGACAACTTGTGCGACAAGTTTGTGGCAAGATGTGTGTGGGCGTGTGCGACATCAAGGCTGCCTAGCAACTGACTATCTGGCTGCTATGGCCATGGCTGGGATGGCTTCTCAGCATGCAGGACTCAGCGACAGCTTCGATTTACAAGTCAGACAGAAGCCAAAAGACAAGCGGCAACTCAAAGTTTTCGTCTTGGCCAGCTTCTCGGACATTGTTTTTATTGTTGTTGGTCGTAGGGCCGTAAAATTTGCACGATGCACGTGTCGTTAACCCGTTAATGTCAAACATATAGAGTTTACAGTGATGGCAGCTATACGACACTATTTAAACCATATATACTGAGCACATATATGCTTGTAAACTGAAGCGGTGACTCAGCAGGCGGTTTTTAAACTCGAATATATACGAAGCATAGGTTAGATAGACTCCACTTAGTCAGTTCGTGCCAGTTTTGTGTCCTTGAAACTCATTTATGTTGTGTGTAAAAGGAGTAGAATGGCGATGAGAAATTATCCAGCTTGTGGTCTGTATGTCGCCAGAGAGAATGAGTCGTTGAGGGAGTTGCTAAGGAAAAGTGTTGCTTTCTATAGAGTGGAGAAGTTATAGCGAAGACCCCACCCCAATCTACTCAGCAGCTTGACTTTGACTTTGATTTCTAAGCTTACGTTTCTTGCCTTTTGATATGGATCAACCGATGAGAAGAGCTTCTTTTGAGATAAAAGATACAGAGTTCAAAATGATCATATTTTTATCACAATTTTATCAGATTTTTATCACATCATACTTATCTAGTATTACAAAACCTTTCACAAGCACGCTGCTAAATATGAATGCCAGCAAGATTTTCTCTGAAATGGACAAGCTTATGAATAATTTTGTGGCCATAACTCTCATGACAATTGCTATTACAATTTAAAGAAATGAAAGCAGCTTCCTCTTAATAAATATATGCAATTATATCGCATATATAGGTGTTAATGGGTTAAATTGACCCTCTTTTGGCTGCCAGCTCTGCTGCTGATTAGTATGCGGCACATGGCATAAATATATTTCAGCAATTTCCTTTTTTGTACGCGTTCCTCCTTTATATTCGTTGTTTCTTCTCGCTCATGTGTCGCTCAGCGACAGGGTTATCCTTTCGTTCGTTGGCTTATCCTTGTCGCTTTGCAAATTGAATGTCTACCTACATTCGTACACACTCGTATGTATAAAATGTGTAAAAATCTCTGCCAGTGCCCAAAAGAAGAAATTGTTTTCCATTTGTGTTCGTCCTCGTTCGTATTCGCGTTCTGCCCTGGCATGCAAATACTCAGCCCGTTTATCATGGACACGGACTTTTATGTGCCATAACTCAGGAAGCCACAAGCTCGCACTGTTGACATCTTTGACTTGCGAGTGCCTCTGATTGCGTTTCCTGCACTCCTCTGCATTGCTCTGGACTGCCTGATTGCTGGACATGCAAACAAGCTCTGCTGCGGCTATTCAGCTGCCAGTTTACGGCACTGTGATTTCATTTAATTAGCTCGACACATAATTGGCTACTCGCTTATTTGCGTATAATTTGTGCGGCCGGTTTAATCAGCCGATTCAATTCAATTGGCTCGCCTTGTTCGCCTACCCCGGGATGGGTTTGCAGCTCAGCTGGCCTATTTGCTGTGTAAACAGAAAGATTACCCTCCATTGAGCAAAGATGCTGAGGAGGCAAGCCGAAGTGCACATCGAACAATTGGCAAACGGAAGTAATTAACAGTTTGGGAGTCGGAAACACAAATACGGCGGCTGAGGAGAAATGCATATTTGTTAGATAGCTGTGTATATATACTTGTACTATAGAAGGAGTGGACTGCTTTCTATAAACTGCTTAAGTGGCTAACTAAGTTTAAGTTATTAGATTAAAGTGCATGCACCAAGTTGTATATTAAATCTGTTTCTTTAGAAATAAGTTATTTGGATAATTGCGTAAAATTCGGATATCATTAAATTGTTTGTAAAGGTTTTAGCAACTCTTCAGCACCATTGCTTAATCAGTCTAAATATTCGTTTCTTAATAAAATCTATACCTGTAGTTTTCCATTTCAAAACACGCTTACAATTGGAAAGCTTAACTAACAAGGCAAATCCTAAGCATGCCAATTGTTTATATTAACTGAGTTTGTTTGAGGCCTTAAGAAGTAATTGAATGGTCCTTTTTTATTTCATTTCTTAACAGAAAATTTCAAGCATAAAAATATATAAAGTTTTGGTTGGTTTCAAGATTTAGTAAGTAATCTTTATTTGTTTTGTTTTTAGCACATTCTACTTCTACTCAATAAATTTTAAAATGAATTAAAACTAGATTTCCTTTTAGAAACGGACACACCCTTAGTCAGACTTTTAAAAAAGTCAGAAATCGGCAACGGTCTTGCTAGTACAAATTATAATAAAGTTGCTAGACGATGATGTCTGATTAAATTGAAGCTATAACTTGAGTATCATGTTAAGCTCTTGATCACGTGTATAACAACACTTCATAATATGGGACTATTATTAATAACACCTGGCCATTCACCTTTGTATGTTTAGCCACACGCACATTTAAGTTAATATCCGAGGAGAAAAACTAAATTAATGCGAATAAGTATTTTGCAAACATACGTATTAATAGAAATGGCCAGTTACATACTTCTGGAATAGGAAATTATATGAATCTAAGCCTATAGCGTTGTGTTACGTGTGGGGCCTAATACTTAAGGATGAGTTCGAATAACTATACAAACATTTAGGCAGCCATTTGGACAGTTGTTTTTATAGCAACACTCACTCACACACAACTTGTGGGCTAAGTCGGGCACGTACAGGTGTGCATGCTTGCCAATTAAGTCCAACTGATGGCGCGAAACTAAAAACAAAGGCCACGTGAATCCAAAACATGTAAGCTTAAGCTTGGATGTCAAGACAATGGCGGTTTGGGGGCCAGGCGTGGCTATCGTGTGTGACTTATCCTAGGGGTGGACTAGACTAAAAATATTACAGAAATTATGCAGTAACTTGTATGAAAATATAACAGAAATTTCGTAATATTTGATTGGAAAACCATTTTATTATTACTAATATTATTAATTGTTATTACTACTTTTTAAAGAATAATCAAAATATAGGCCGCGACCTATTTTCCATCGAAATATTAGAGTACATATAAGCCCTTTGGAAAAGTGCAGAAAACGAGCGAACGTAGTAATTTTGTAGAACGCTTTTCTTTTAAAGATATTCTGTTTTAGATCAATACGAGAGAGTTGAATCAATACCTATGCTTATTAGCACTTTATTCCAATAGACAGATATTGTAAGAAGATAATTTTCTGTAATTCACGCAGCCATCTCTAGACAGCCCTTTCGCTGCGCTTGTAAAAACACGCGCTCGATACTGTGCACGTTGTTGTTCTGCCATTTACACACAATAGCACACACATACACACACACACACATCGACTTATATACAAGCACAAACAAACGTGCGAGCGCGTGTCGACATAGTTGAGTTCACAAAAATGGCTTGGGGTGATGCATGCTTTTAGGCGCACGTTGAAAGTTGCTGTAGGTAAGGTGTTTGTTGCTAAATATTCACACACACACACACACACACACACGGAAAAATGGAGAACAACGTGCACAAGTAATCAATAGGCATTTGCTTAATCCAAATTATCATATGCGTACCCCACAAGGCAAGGTCCTTTGCTGTTGGTGACTTGATAGCCGACGTTATAATTCAATTTCCACATAAATCGCGCATATAGTATAAGCGGATTATGGCACACCTCTGATTTTTGGCAAAGTTGGACGCCAATTTGATGGTGTGTATGTAATACGACACAATAGCAGCTTAAAACAAGTCATAAATCAGCTTAAATTTACACTTTTGTCAAGTTACAAATTGCTTCGCAAAAGCTGGCAAAACAGCTCCCAAGCTCCTTTGTTAACTGCTCATCTAATTTGCTGTTATTTTCGTTTGCAAATTTTTCCCTCCTGCCTGTGTAATCGATACGAAAAGCCTCTTAAATAAGCATTGTTCCATTATTTCAATTTGGCTGCAATATTTGTCAACGACAGGTCTAATGATAACAAAGCGGATGTAGTTACATTTTCCGAAATGTTCAGTCATTTTTTATTTATTTGGGCTTTTAATTTTTTATATATATACTCGTTTGTTGTAATGGTATTGGTTGGTACAGCGGCAGATTAAAGGAATAATAAATGAGCTATTTCACTTAAATTTATTTTAGCGAGTGTCAAGTGGAATCCACATATATCCCTCCGTCTGTTTTAAGCTTTTTTTTTATCCCACAACTCTTGAAGCGGAAAAACATCTTCGAGAAGGAAAAATAGCTTTTTAAGTATTACTACTATACATTATGTAAGAATCAATTAAAGTAAATCAGTAAAAAGCTTTTTTATAAAAGCTTCCTCCTGCTATTTATTATTAGTTGATTATTAATCATTATTATAAAATTATAGCAGGTAGGGCTGGCAGTAACATTGGTTGCTATTTTTATCCTATTATTTCGGTGTATATTTTATCGCAATTTAATGTGGAATGGAAAATAAATAATTTGAGACAAATATAATTCAAGTGATTATTTAGGAACAACAGCTTTTACCACAATCTGCGGTCAAACGATGATTGAATTTTAAAGAAATATAATAATTTGTTTCTTTAGTTTGTGCAGTGAGCTTGATGGTTTCAGAACCCTTCGCATTTGTTTTTTAAGCCCTAAATATTTTCACAGCAATATACAAAATGCATATTTATTTTGTATACTTATTAATAATTCTCGTGGCTATTTGTGTTGGCTGTGTGGGGATCTGCCTTCTGCTGCTGCGATGCAAGCGAAAAAAAGTGGAGAGCATTGAAATAAACCGAAGGTGTTCGAGATATGTAACCATTGGACCAAGCATAAATGGTGAAAACACGGAACTTCTTCCGCCTAACATTACTATTACAAGTGAGCGCATCAACAACGATAATTCAGGCTCAGGTGATGTTTATATACCAGAAGATACGGACTGGGAAGTACCCAGAGATGAAGTGAGTCTGGTTTCAAGATTGGGCGAAGGTGCTTTTGGTAAAGTTTTTAGGGCAACGACGGGAGGAAGGACTGTGGCCGTCAAAATGCTTAAGGAAAATCATTCCGATGAGGACTTGATCAACTTTTTGCTTGAGATGGAGATGATGAAGCTAATCGGCCAGCACGACAATATAATAAACCTGCTTGGCTGCTCCACCCAGAATAGTTCTCGCTGGCTCATCATTGAATATGCGTGCCATGGAAATCTGAGAGACTTTCTAGTCCAGAATCGTAATCGCGCAACAATTTGCGAAAATGATCTGGTTAAATTTGCTTGGCAGATTGCATGCGGCATGGAATTTCTGTCCTCCCAGCGGGTAGTTCTTCTATATACCTAATAAAAACGAATCTATTTATTTGAAATCTATCTCTTTTCACAGTGCGTTCATCGAGATTTGGCGGCACGGAATGTACTTGTCAGTGAGGACTTTGTCATGAAAATAGCCGACTTTGGTTTGGCTCGTCAAACAAGAGACAAAGGCTATTATCGAAAGGTCAGGAAGGGACGGCTGCCAGTAAAATGGATGGCGCTCGAATCGCTGGAAACTGGGTATCACGACTCGAAGAGCGATGTGTGGAGCTTCGGAGTTTTATTTTGGGAGATTATGTCGTTTGGCATTGGACCATATGAAGATATAACTAGTGTGGAACAGCTGGCAAACTTTTTACAGTTGGGCGAGCGTCTGAAAAGACCAGACCAGTGCTCTGATAATCTATATCTTTTGATGCAAAAATGTTGGCATGCCCATGCCTATGCACGGCCTACATTCTCCGAGCTGGCGGCTAACTTGAGCAGTTTACTGACGCAATTTATACCAAATGCTTACGATGTATACTTGGATAGGTTAAGTCCTATAATGGGGGCGCCGCCAACAGCCCATAGCTATGCCAATATACCTGAACACATAGTAAACGAAACTAGGCTTTAAAGAAACTAGGCTATTCATCGCTGGCTCTTTTAAGAATAGAGCTAAAATACTAAGTCAGCGTCGAGCGCCAATTAGTTATATATGCTAAGCATGCAGATGATGTTCCTAAAAATATAGACATGCACTACAGCTAGCCTGTAATGTTTATTTTATAAATTAAAATTAAAATTTTCCAGAACATTTTATTTATGCGAATTATTTGGAGCTTTAGTTACGTAGCATAACAACTATTATAAATAACATTATTTACAATTATTTAAATTTATCTTGTGATAAGCCATTTATATATCAGAATAATAGCACTTCTCATAGCAATTTCGTGTACATTTGTTGCATACTATGGCGAGTCATGTTTTGTGAACTCATCATCGAAATGAGTTTTGAGTTAGAATGTGAATGTGCGGCACTGTGGTCAGCGTGGCTTACGTTGAGTTGCGAGCGAGCTTAATACAGCATATAAGAGCGCATGATTAATGCATGTGTCAGTGAGGCTGCTGCCTCTGCTCCTGACTCATTGCAGCTTGTTCCAAAATGTCAGCAGGTAATAAGTGAGCGACAACAGAAGCCACACACGTGCGTTTGTTATTAACGCGCCGCGCAACCTGACAATGACGTAAGGCGGGGACGCAGGAACGCCAAGGGAAGTTATGCGAGTGATAAAACAACGGAAGCAGGAACTACATGCCGAAGCAACGCAGCCACTCGCCTGCCAGTGATAGCATCTCAGGCATCCAGCAAGAAAATGCTGAAAATGCTGTTTGCCAGTCAGCGAGACAAGCAGTCGTGTTTTTCTTTTCTTTTTTCCTTCTTCTTTTGTATGCCATCCAGCATGTTGCCTGAAATAAGGAAAATGTTATTCACCTGTCTGGCAACAAACAAGGCCCACTTTTTGCATCGCATACAAGCTGAATACATACTATATGTATGAATACATATTGTAAGCGTGGGTGTGGATAGAAGGAGCAGACGATTAGGGTGAACAATAGTTTCAGGATAAAGAGAGCCTTCTACTATCATATTACTTAATATTAGCCATATAAATTTTAAAAAATTATCTCTTGTCTAGGGTTGTGCCAGAAAGTGAAGACATCAGAATTATAATATAGAAATAATTAATTTATTGTGCAGCTTTCTAAGAACTACAATCTAAGCGGTCCGATTCGGTTTCTAACTACCTTTTCTCTCCCCAACTAAGAACACCCTGTAATCAACATTCTTTATGCAGTTTTCATTAAACTGTCACTTGTTTCTTAAACTGTTTTAAGCCCTGCACGGATGGATTCTATGCCAACAAGTACTTTCCGTAGATAGAGATAAAGTTAAAAGGGTCAGTTTTTCTTTTGACAAACGCTGGTTTTCTTCTCGAAGTGTCTGCAGTTAAGTGTAACTAATATTTTATTTATATACAAATCGATCAACACCCTACTCTTGAGTGCTGGCTTTAAGCTCTTGTTTTTGTGCTCCATTTAAATACATTTTAGTTGGCGTTGCTGCTCGCTTTTAAAGCGCATCACATTGGCTTAACCTTGCCGCTTGCGTCATTTTGCTGCGCTGTCGACTTCCACTTCCGTCCTTTGGCTTTCACACGGAAATCAGCTCGTCCCGTGGTACTTACGTCTGCCTGCTTGCATGCGGCTTGGAAAATGTCTGCGCGCTACGGCATCGCCAAGATGCCTTCTCACCTGCCCCACCACACTGGCAAGTGGCACAGTTCTGCTTATCTCGGCGTTGTCTAAGCTAAGAAAATGGCACTTTATTTTATGTTGGGTTTCATGCTGCGCCATATTTACATGACTGCACCTCATACACATGCTTAAGTGCTGGGGCTTTTGTGCCTGTTTATGATTTCTAAAGTTGTTGCCCGACATTTCATTTTTTTCGCTTCTCTCCATTTCGCTTTACTTCTACTCGTACATTTGACAAAATTAGCGCAACGCCGCACTTTTGGACTACGTGTCGTATGCGTTATGTGAGCGCGCACCTTTGCGTGTCAAGACTTTTGCTGAAGTTTGTCGGGCCACGCACCTCGCGTAGACAGTTGCGAGTTGAGTCATTTAACCTACATAGCCGTAATTTGCCAGATTTTATGACAGGTCGAGAGCAGCAGCAGGTGTCATTGGAGCGGGCCTGCTACTAAAAAATGTTGTGTAGTAATTACGTTAAGTATACACCATGTGTTTTAAGAAATTTCCAAGCAGCATGTAAAGCAAGCGAACATTTTTGTGGCCTGACAAGTGCTTGAATGCTTTTTTATTTATTGTCCCATCCATATAGTAACGAGCTCTTTAAGCCAGATCGTTTACATAAAATTTATGAAGTCAAAGCGAAATTTTTAACAGGCTTTTTGGTAAAACTCTGGCAAATTAATATGTCTTCATGAATTCCATTGAAAAACCACAGCTTATAAAAATCAATAAAAGCTACCTCTTTGATGTGGATTATTTTTATAGAATTTATGCATATTTTTTTTTATTTTTTAGTTATGCATTGAATTTAAATGCCATTTTAAACCACTGCTGAAAAATAATATTTTTCTACATTTGCATTCAAAATAGACAGCAGTTGTAATCTTTTGTTATTCGCATTTATTTGACGTACTCGTAAGTTAAAAACTCATTTGCTTTTTATCAAGTATACGCACTGTACACATACCAACAAACATACAATATTTGGTTTTTTTTTATCTTAAATTGTCCGTACAAACTAACAAAAATCGTTCATCAGAAAACAAATACATACACGCGCACATTTCTGTATGTGTGCTTTACTATAAAAAACATAAACAAAACAGCAAAACTATTAAAGGTAAAAAATTCGTCGATGGAATGTCAAATAAATTGAAAAGGAATTGTTTGCGCATTTCATGCACGCACAGCAAAGGAAACTATTTTGTATAAATTGATATATTATTATTATTTTTTTACTTAAACTATGGCAGAACCAAATGCCTGTGGAGAGAATGTGTGTGTGTTCATTTTTTTATAAAAAGAGTTTCGCTTTGTTGTTTTGTCAAACATGTAGATGAGATATGCGGGAATCGGTTTTGGAAACGTAAAGATGAAATCCTCTTTTGTGATTTTGTTTGGCTTGATAGTGTTTTGATGATTTTAAATAATTTCGTATATACACCTAACACTTTGCATTGTATTGCATTCATTTTTTTATACATGATAAATGTGTGTTGCACTTAAAGTTATAACTTAAGCTAATGATAATTTTTTTCTTTGCGTTTTAAGTACAGTAATTAGGAGAGAACTCTGAGCGTCTGTTTGTGGGTAATTGACTCGGAAAATATGCAAATTATAATTATATAGATAGAGTTTAGTTTAGTTTTATTGAGCATATAGTTCGTGTTCATGACTGGCAAATAAATGGTTGGTTGTCTTTTTAAGCTGCCTACGGAAAGTTTTCATTCATGAGTTTTATGCAACGTGCTTTTACATATACAAAAAATTAATCAGTCTAAGTACATTTTTTGTATGTATTTCGTTTTTGTTTTTTTGTTTAGACCCCCCCAAGAAGATATTTGTATACTCGTATTTAGTTTTGTTTTCGTTTTAAGCAATTTAGTTAGTGCCTTAAATAGAGCGATCCCCCGAGCTAAACTTATGCGACTTTTTAACTAAAGTTTATAGTTGAACTTATTGTTTAAACTTTTTTCATTTTTGTAATGCCCCATTTATTGTTGTGTTTTTGTTTTGTGTGTGTGTGTGTGTGTTTTGTGTTCAGCAACAAATCAACATGTAAAATCATAACACGCACATACATACTTACATATCATAGTGTAGGTATAGACATGCACAAATATCACGACCCTGCCTTCCTGCCTGGCTCATAATTTTTAGCTACAGCTGAATTCTCTACTCTCATCCCATCCATTCACTCCACTGCAGCTCATTCTCGATAAGATTAACTAAAATTTAGTTAGTTAGCTACTCCTGCTCCGCCTGCTTTCACGCATATTTGGTGAAGACCCAGCGTTGTGTGGAGAGCGCTGAGTTGCAACGCTGGGCACTAATGCCGTGCTCATTGTGTTCCCGGGAGTCCAGACACACGTTTATTTTCTGGTGCCGTACCAGGCCGCCTTCTCGCATGGTCCAGCGCTGGTTCTCCGTGTCATCGCAGTTCTTCAGCACCACCTGGGAGCCGCGTGAGAACTGCACGAGGGTCAGGCAGAGATCGTCGTGTTTGATTTCCCCACGCTTCGAATAGGCCCATTCCTGATTTCCGCCCGTGTTGTGACAAGGAAAGAGACCTGCAAACAAATAAACAAACAATATGGCATACACATATAGCTGGGGAAGTGGGAGATCGTGTGCAGACATTATTGAAATGAAATGCGCATTTTATTGTGATGTGTCCACTTCACATTTTTATACTCGTATAGTACAACAAAAAACCGTCGGACACACAGACTGACATTCAACATGCAACAATTGTTTGCATGTCTCGTTGGTCTATCGCTCTCAATTGCTGGATATTTTATTTCAATGTTTTTTTTATTACTGTCCTCGTTGTCGGCGAAGTCGCCGGCTCTTTGCCGCGCTGATGTTTTAATTAAATGACTTCCATGACACTTAATCAGGGGGGTCATTGGATCATTTGCGGTTGCCAGCAGTATTGATAAATTGATTTTAAAAAGCGTGACGCTTAAGTGTTAAGTTCGTTTGACAAACGATTAAGAAGTGTGTGACAAGCACTGCACTAATTTGATTTTCCACGCAGTGGAACATCTGTCTAATGACCAATTATAAGAAAATTGGCTAACTATCGCAGGATTTTCTTTGATTTCTACTGTGTTCAATCGTTCAATCCCAGTTAGGAATGTCTAGTATAGTATGTGGTGGACAGCAGGAAAAAGTAGAACAGTACGTCATGGCCTTACTAGATAATTAATTGCTGACCCCGACGTCACTTTAGATTCAACAAGCGCATAAAATGCAGTCAAGCTGGCAGCTCTGCATTTTCACTTGATTTTTAATTAAAATAGGAATTAACACAATAAGAAGCAACTTGGGGAGACAGTTAATTGAAGCTGCTTTGTAGTGACTTTTCATAGGAGTACTGCAAGTATAAATTTTCAACATTTTGTATTTAAAATCAGTTGAAAAGTGAAAACTAATTAAATGAATGTCTTAGTCCGATAGTATATTGTTGAACGCAATTTTTGCTAACTTCGCTTTTCGATAAAACATTTGTCTTCCTTAATTTTGAACTTTTGAAACACATGTTGTATTTGAAGGATTTTCTGAAAGTCGTGCAATAAATAGGCTTCTAGCAGTTGCCTAAAAAAGACTATCATAATCACATTAAAAGTGATAAGCTAATGCATGCTGCTTTGATAAAAACTTTACAAATTGACAGCAGGATTACTTCTCATCTATGATCCTTTTTGATGAACGAAATGGGGATACCGTCATTATTACTTCACATCCACTTACCCACATTGCCATCGACTAAATGGCCCATTGTATCAAGGCATTCGGTCATGTCCTGCCTAATTTGGCCAACTTCCTGTGGCTCGGGTGCTTGCAAGTCGGGATAAACGTTCTCCAGATACCACTTAAACGGCTTGCAATGTAACTTTTCCTTCAAAGCCAAGCGGTCGTCAATGCTGTGGGCGAATACATAAGCATGAAAAACAAAAAGCCAAAATAAATAAGCAAATACATATACGTGCCTTTCCACACACACGCAAACACTCAATCACAAATACACACACACACATACACACACACACTTAAGTCAGCCACAAAATGAACGCACATAAATAAACAAAGAAAAGGGAGTAAAAAAAAATGGAAAGGAAGGAAAAACTAAAGAGCGCTCAACACTCTCAGCCACACCCACAGAACTTTAACTTTAACTTTCCCAGCCACACACCACACACCACACACCACCAACAACAACAACAACAAAAACATTAACACCAACAAAAAGCACATGCCACTCACTTGCCAAACGGAATGTTCTTGGCCAATGGAACCGCATTGTAGTAATGCTGCTTGTAGTCATCCATCCAGACCTCGGCGGCGCGACGTGTGTTGCGTGCGAAGACGTTGCCACTGCCGCCCGGGAATGTGTAGGGATGGCGTTTGCGGAAAACGTGGCCCACTCGGCTGCAGGGAATGATTTCCAAGCTGCCACCACACTGCCAGACACGGAACGATATCTCAAGATTCTCGCCACCCCACACATCCATTTTCATATCATATTTGCCGAGCTTATTGAAGTACGCCTTGTCAATGACAAACAGACCGCCGGCAATCATGGGCGTGCGTATGGCAGTGGTGGGATCGTTGTGGCGCGCCGCACGCTCCGTCGGACTGAGGTACTCCCATTTGAAAATCAAATTCCAATCGAAGCCGCCACGCAAGTCCGCCGAAGCGCCAATATATTGGAAATTATCCATGCTAATCACATCGATGACGGGACAGACGACGCGTGTGGGATCCTCTCGCACACGTTCCAGCAACGGTTCCAGCCACTGCTCATTGCACTCCACATGGCTGTCCAGGAATGTAAGGACACTGCTCACTGCAGCATCGGCGCCCCGAACCCGCGACCGCACCAAGCCCTCGCGCTTGTCATTGCGTATCACGCGAACTTTGTCAATTTTGGCCAGCTCCTGACCATCCTCAGCTGGAAATATATGAACAGGATATTAACAGACGTCACATAACCGTCAATTAATGTTGAAATCCAAAAATGATTAAGAACTAGGTATCAAGTAATATTTCTCTACTACTTATAAGCGACATCCTAAGTGTCACCTGTCATAGAAAAAATAAATAAGTATGTATATAAACAAATATGTGCCTATTTGATAAGAAAACAAATAAAGATAAGGAGGTTATTGATTCGGAACATTTGTGATGAAAGAAAAAAGGTAAGCAATTGTATTGATAAATAATTTCATATCTTATTTGTAAAGATAACACATTTTGAAACTAAAGAGAAAGACAATTTAAATTAACACTATCAGAACTCTTATATAAACAATATACATATATATTTAGAATATAACAGGAATAGTTCTTCTGCTCAAACAACAATTTAATAAAATAAAATAATGAATAGTATAAAAAGAAAAATAAATATATAACATTTCTTTCACTTAAAGAAAAAGATAAATTGAAAGTTATATACATGTGCAATTTTTATTTTTCTTTCTTTTTTGAGCTTCTCACTTAAGACGGGTAAGTAGTTGACAGGAATATTGTCATAAACATAATATTAATTAAAACGAAAGCAATGAGAATTCTCTACTATAATATTATCTCCTGTGGAAACAAAACATCTTTGCATTTGTTTTTCAAAATTGCTCGCAAAAAAGAACATATTCATATGCCAATTATTTACAATAAATGCAGAAAAATTACTTTCCCATACAAGTAGTTCAAGCATCTACCACAATTACAACTAAACTGTACTACTAATAGTTTAGTTAGTAATTATAATACTTACGGTGATCGCTGAAATCGTCAACCAGCACTATTTCGCGTATCAAATGCTCGGGACTGCGATTCAGGACACTGACAATGGTGCGCAGCAGGGTGGAGCGTGCCTCGTTGTGGAAGGTGATGATAACACTCGTCTCGGGCAAATCCTCACGGAACTTCTTAGTGCGACACCTGCCCCATGGAAATCATTTAGTTGAACACTTAATTTAGACAGTTAAGTCTGCCTACTCACATGGGATTTCTGGTGTCGGGTATTTCACGATTGCTGGGCAGTGCATCGCTGGCCTCCTGATTGAATCGATTGCGTATGTAGGGATCCTCTCCTGTCCGCAGCGAACCGCCCTTTATGTAGCCAGCCTCATCGAAATACTCCACCTCGCCACCGCCACCACTCGGCGCCATTGGCAGGCGCCCGTCTGACGGACCCGTGCTGCCGCGGCCGCTGCTCCCCTGCGATGTCTCATCGAGAGCCACAATGCCATTCAACTTGAGGCCGTGCACCGCATTGCGCTCGAAGTCCTTTACGGAGCCGATTAGTATAATATTGCCGCCGGGATCGTCTGCACTGCCACTGCCAACGCCAATACCTGCACCGGCACCGGCACCCATCTGTCCATGGACCTGACGACTGGCTGTGGCCCATTGGCGTGCAGTAGACGCCGCCCCCGCCCCCGCACCCGCGCCTCCGGACACATCGTCCTGATACTGTTGCATGGCTGTGGCCACTTCACGTAATCGCAGGGCGCGATTTTCCACCTAAAAGCACACAAAGGGTTGGTACGTTGCCTCGTTATTATTATTATTATTTTTATTGTTGTCAGCTTTTTGTTGTAATTTATTTGTTTAATCTGCGCAGCATTTGCACCCCAGCTGCAATAATAACTCAACTGTACGGCAACAGCGCGCAAGTTAAAAAGTTTCTGCTTTATGGCCGGCACGTAAATATTGTTGCCGCTTTTGTGGTTTACTTTAAAATTAATAATCTGCGCACTAGTAGGGGCATATTCCTATTTCTATGCTACACTCAGAGAAAACACAAAAGCGAAGGGAAACCAATTTAAAAGTGCAATTATAGTATAGAATTATAGTATAGTATAGAATTTTCATTTTAGTTTTGGAATTTGTTGTTCTATGTATATTTCTCTCAGTGTATTTACGTGTTTGCTGCAAAATTGTCGCATTTTTTTTTTAAGGTTTAATCAGCAAAATCCCAGCAGCAGTTGCCAAGGCTCCACATTTATTTGCCGATACTTGTACCTACTATACATATGCATATGGGGGGATACTTAAAACTTTAAATTGGGCCCCTTTTTCGGGAGGGTTGGCCCGGCACTTAGCATTATTAATGCCTCTACTGCTTATCGCTCAGCTTTAAATGCCACCGAAATCCAGCTCAATCAAAATGCAAAGCCCCAAGCTACTACTGAAGCGGGTGGCAGCTCTGCAGATCCTAATGTTAAGCCATTAGCTCTTCAACTTTGACGTATGCATGAGGCACAAGCAACTGGATCCATCTACCCTGCACTCTCCCTTGACTGTTGCGAGGGGTGCTGCACGCTTCATGTTGACTAATGATGCATTGTTGAACTTTCTCTGCAGCCCTGGCTTCTGTACGTTTATGGGATATTATGAGTTTGGTCATTAGGTTGGCAACGCATTGCCAACACAATTTCTCAAATAGAAGTTGCTAGTGGTTTTCCAAATACTTATACTCGTAAGCATTTTAAATGACATAAAAAAGGAAATCCACGTCCGTTTTGTTATATAAAGATATTCACTAAACATGAAACGTTTATAGCTCGGTCTATTATTATTTGTTAAACTGAAGAGGAATTGTTGCTTCTTTTTTTTTTGCAATATTTTACATTCAAATTTAAAGTACAAATTAAATTAACATAATTAAGAACGGCAAGAATTCAAATGCTAATTGAATTTGATCTGCCCAGATGGCTATGCTTTAAGACAGCTACATAAGACATTGTGCTTTAAACTTCCATTCACTGCCCTCTTATCCACACTTCGATGGCTTTCTTCTGCTTTAAATTTAATACATTCTCGTTCCACTAGCCAATCGAATTGAATCGAATTGGCTCGGCCAGGCCCGGCCCGGCCCAGCCCAGCCCCGAGGCCGGACCAGTTGCTGCCCACGTTGGGTCAAGTCACGTGACTCTATTATTAATTGCTTTGGATTTGGCTATTTGTCATGCTTTCTTTGCTCACTTCACGCTTAACTGTGATTTATATGTATATATTGATGTCGCTTGAAATTTCGGTTGCCATTTGTTTCGTCGTCGCTGCTAAAGGGGCGTATGCGTGTTTTTAATTTTAAGTGGCCTCTGCTTGGAATGGCTTCGATACGGGCATATTTGAATGGCAAGCGTGCACGCGCTTTAAATTCCACTTCCGTTTCTTTGATTTACATGAAACGTGTGCCTTTTAACACAATTTTAAGCGCATTTTTATGGGTTTGCTCTCCGCCATTAGCCCAACCGCTCACGCACAGTCTGCGAGTGGAAGCAGAAGAAGAAGCTGACGGGGAAAGAGCTGTCCTCCTCATCCTGCTTGCTGCATTCATTTGATATGCAAGATTTCACTTGGCTGCGAGAAATGCCAGAGCATTGGCATTTACGCGTACAACAATTTCGGGCAACGTGTTCGCATTGTTAAATATTTAAAAGGCTATTAAGTGCCGAATTATGTGACAACGGCAGCGAAATGTTCAATTGAGTTCATGACCCTGTCATCCATGTATTGATTTGAGATAGATAGACAGACAAATAGACAATTGTGGGCAGTTTCATCAATGGCCTCAGTTGGCCTAAAAAAGCACTCCTTACTTCACTCGTAAGCAGCTCAGTTAAGCATACATAATGTGACATTATAATTTTGCACTTAGCTACATATTAATTAAAGCATAATGCATCCCAACCTTACTCATATGACTGGCTACTGTCATGGTCTTCCCCTAAATATATAGCCGAGAGATTGACAATAGTAAGAAGAAGCTCGATGACATCAAAGGAACTGACCACAATGCGTATACGCAGTGTGCACACAATGCCTAATCACTCATCTGCATTGTGGGGTGTGTTGGGTGTGTTAGAGATGGAAGTGTATTGGAAATCCTTATATTGATCCCTAATATTGATAAGGATTACAAATTGTACCAATTCCGTTTCATTACAATTCAAAATTTAATAATTTATTTTCTGCAATTTTCTTTTTCACTGATTATCGTCGTAAGCATTTGTGTTTGTTTTAAACAACTTTTAATATTTAATAATATAATTAGCTTAGATCAGTTAAATATACTTGTATATCTAAACTTCATATAGACTAATGAACGAATGTTTTAAGAGAGGTTCCCACGGCTTACTTCTACTATAAGTTTAATATTTGCCTAATAGTTGGTAGAAGTTTTACATTTCTCTGGAAAAATTGCCGTTCCGTTGGAAAAATTATTCAAATTTGGTTGAAAATTTTGTCATACTGCTTTCAAATTGATTTCACCCATAATTAATAGCTATCTTTTACATATAAATTGACATTTTTAATTTTCACACTTTATAAAAAATTAATAAAGTATAGGGAAACCAACCGCTATAACCGATTGATAAACTGTGTAATTATTTTCAACTTCTTATTAACTTCTTATAATTTTCTTCTTTCATAGGGACTTTTGTTCTTTATATAATTCCCTTAAAATTTAAAATGATAGTTCTTTTAATTTGTTTTCGTATAGTTCATTATGTTACTATTTCTATTTTTCTTCTTACTTAATTGCTTTATTTTTTTTTATATTTTATTCGTTATATTGTCTTTGCTTTATATTTTTGGTTAGCGTTTCGATTTTCTACTGAAAGACAACAGATTCTTAATTTCAATTTCATATTCAGTTCTTCAGAAATGCGAATATTGTTCATCTTCATCTTGGATGTTTTAGTTATTTACTTAAGTTCCCATGAATGTGATGCTAGCTGTTAAAGTTTGTAGTTTCTTGAATGGTTATACAGTGCCAACTAAGTAATCTTAACTGAGTTCGGCCCATCTCTACAGTGGGACGCGATGTACCATGAATTCGTAAGCACGTACTGACAAAGAGAGATTTGCATTCATGCATTGAAAATTGTTACAGTTTTGCTTTTAGGCTCCTCATTCAATTAGTACTGTGCCTGGGACCTTCGTCTGTACTTATTATGCATATGCGAGCACTCGTACACATAGTATGTATGTGTGCAATGTATTATGTGGCAGAGGATCGTCCATGTGTAACTTAATTAGTTTCATTGTTTGTGCAGTAGGAGCCACAAATGTTGTGGCCCATGATTGGTTATGCATCTGAGCTAAACATAACCCAGTCAGCAGGTCTGGTTGACCATATAACGACTGGCCCAGAGCAGTTTGGCGTTCATAAGCCGCTTATTGCGAGGTCATGGCTGTCCAGTCTGCACTAATTATTGAAAACGCATGCGTTCAGACAAAATATTGCGGCATGCGGGTCCTCGATACCAGTTATTAGCCTGTTACTCTTAATTAGTTATAAATCAAATGGTTACGAGATAAGTGCTTCGGGCATTGCCAAAAATATATTGCCTACGCATTGTTTTGTAAAAGTTTTATTGCGTTTCTCGCAATTTACGACTAGCATATGAGTATGCTAGTTGGCAGCATGGCGAGTATATAGTATTACTGTTTTATCGTCTATCGTGCTAAATATAGAGTCGGCCGGCTACCCCCAAGTGTCCAGACATGCTGGAAACTTATGCTGCCATGCGATATGCGCGCACATAGACGTCATGGATGGGAAATGTGAGTCCGAAGACATGAAAACCGAGGCAGCTGTCAAAAGTGTCTGAGACTGGACATACGGCTGTGTACGAATAACATTAAATCGCAAAAATCCCACGCTATGCAGACCATATGTGCGTACATATTCCTAAATGCAAGGAGTTGCAAATTAAAGTAAAGTTCATGTTTTAGGGGTAAAAATCGAATATAGCATTTCATAAAAAATGTACCACTTAATATTTAATTTAAACATTGTCTTATTATTGCTTATTAGAGTGAGAAGAAAGGCAGCAGGCAGCATAGAGTTATCTACAAAAAGGGGGAAAAGAAAAAGAACGCTTTTGGCTATACAGATTACCAGACGGGGAAAGTGGAGAGACAGAAAAAATAAATGAAAGAAAACAAAAAGTGAAATTGTAATCCTTTTCAATTATATTATTAAGACTGTTCTGTTCATAAAACAATTGAGAAGTTTTAGTTGCTTGGCTAAGTAGCTTCCCCTTCAGTTCCACTGCAAATAACTACGTTGTTCGTAAATAAATGTTTACAAATTAAATTATCACTGTCTCTGTTCAGCAATTTTTGTCTTTCAGACATTAATGGCCAACCGACACGCACTCATCAGTTCATTTATCGATATTTGTCAATCACTTTACAATTTGTTTGCTTGCAACATTGAGTGTCGTGCTCAAAAGTATGTCATTAGTCAATCAACAAAAATAATAAAAAGAAATAACCATTGGGGGGAAAAACGCGCAGCAACCAGTTGCCTCAAATGGCTTCTGTTTTTGTGTGCAGCTCACAAATATGGCACTAAATGTTACACATAAAGTTCAATGCTTGAGTTCAATGTTTTCAAATGGAATCTGCTATATACTCGTATACATGTGTGTTGTTCCAAAAAATGTTGAACGAATTGCTTTGACGCCAGATACTGGCATTGAATGGTAGAAGCTAAAAAAAACAATGGAATACAAAAAACTTTTAATGACATGCCGACCCTTTTTGCAATTTTTCTTTTGCCATTTTTGTTACTTTGTCAACTTTGTAAATTATGGTAATTAAAATTGCATGCTGATTGAAGCGGATTTGCTTTCAACATAACTACAAGTATAAATAGTCGATTTTTCGTGAAGCATTAATCTGCTCAAGAGATTGTGAAAACCTTGAAAAAATGTAGAATCAAAGTGTTTGTTGTTGAAACAGGAGCCAGGTGGCATGTTAATCCAAATTGCAGGTTCAGCAAAAAATGTGAATTATGTATGAGGAAGGGTCTTCTTTTTGTTGAGCCCAACCAGCAAGTCATGTCACAGGAATTTATGATTTGCTTGCCCCAAAGTTCAATGGTCGACCGCTTTTGATATGCCGTGCAGGCAGACATGTGTAGTTATTTGTTGGGCCTTTTATCAGTCAGTATTATAGTCGTGCATTGATTTTTAATTGAATTTTGCTGTCGTGTTGTTTCCCTTAGTTAGTCTGCAGTCGAAACTGATTGTCTCTCTGTCCGCTTCAAATGCCCGAGTGACCCAAAAAATACTTTTTGCATGTTTCGTTCATATCTTGGGCCTGACTTGGGCCTTCATGACTTGGGTGTGTCTTGTATTGGTGTTTGCCACCAACTGTTTGCCATTCCTGCTACGTTTTTGGGTAGCAACTCGAAAGGGGTCTGAAACAACAGTTAAGAGGCTTGACAAGCTTGCTGCAGGCCCCTTTTAATGTCAAAGTAAATAAAAATGCAGCTCAAACGGCTGTCATGCATGCAACACAAATTGAGCGAAATGGGGGGGAACACGTGGCAGGCCACAAAGGGAACTGAAAACAATTAAAAATGCAGTTAAATAAATTATACAAATCACCCTTGCAACAAGTAGTTTAATATTGGATGAATATACATGTGTCATTCACTCAATAAAAGGGAATAAAGGGTGACTTGTTTGGACCACAATTAGCCACCAAGTATATCAGATCATCTTAATAAGTCAATATACTTGTATAGTATTGCTTTCAATAGTTCCACTATTTATATTGCTTAAGGTTAATTATTAATCAAAAGGCTGGGCACTCATTGTGAGCCACTTACATACGACGCCTTAAAGCAGAAAATTGGACATTTATTATGGTACATAATATATATTTAGATCTATTAAAAAACTAAATACTTTTTGTTTCAATCGAATTAATATAAACTATAGGTTTTGGTAAAAATTGAGAAAGGTTAGGTGTGGACTACTTTTGTGTATATGTTAGAAAATTTTAACTACTGCCAGATATTTCAAGTTTCTTGTTATTAGTAATATTGTGGAGGGTTCCAACACTCTATACCAATTTAAGGTATGTACTTAGGTGTACCTTAGAAATGTAGTCATTTGTTAAAATTATTATTATCGTTATTTCAGGCATAACATTCCAAACTGTTCTGCTTGTACTTCTGTTTTAGATGCCTAAATTGGTTTATAACTTAATATATTATAGGACTGCCAATAAAAGATATTAAATATTCGACAGCTTTTTAGTGCAAATTCGCTGCGTTTCGATTTCTTAGCGTGTGTGGTCTTCGGTGCAACCACGATAGCTACTTCTTTGTTTTTTTTTCCTCTGCCTTTGAACAAAGACATCTTTTTTTGTTGTGCTTTGTTTTGGTGAAAATAAATTTGATACGTTCCAATTACTAAATTATGCATTTACAACTACTTTATGGAAAAGGCATTCAGCTGGAAGACTGCACAGCATGGCAAACGCAGGGTAGAGAAGGCAACAAAGTAAAAAAAAAAAAAGAAATACAAAAGCAGCTCAAAAAACGCTGCTCTTGTGGCTAAAAACAAACAAACAAAGCGCCACGACACGACGCCAGTGGCTTTAACCATGCTTGAGTGATTAAACGCAAAAAAACTGTGCACATTAATAAAAAGTTGCTGAAAAATGGAGAAAACAATCTAAAAGATAAAAGCGCACACGAACAGAAGATTTTCACTAATTAATTGGACTAAAATATTGCCAAAGAAAGCCCAGCCCAGAAGCATAATTTAATCTGTTTTAAATGTTTTCAAAACAATTTCTTTCAAAATGTAAGTATGCTCTACTTTTGCTCCGGCTTGGCCCCCTTCTCAACATTGATTCCGGCCAGCAATTGTTGTGTCTCTCGCGCCAGTCCCACCAGAGCCTTCAGATCATTCTCCAAAGTCTCAATGCGCTGGCGCTGCAGCTCAATAATTCTCAGATAGCGTCCACTCTCGGCTTCACGCGCTCCTGCCACGGTGCGCCAGTAATGGACATCGTTGATCTGCGAGGGCTTGGGCTCAGCACGTTGCAGACCCTTCTGCAGGCGCAGCACCACATTTGCCATGGTGCGCAGGCTTAGGGGATTCTTTTTGCTCGATTTGGAAGTCTCTGCTACTTCAGCTTTACTTGCAGCTTGCTGTTCAGTTATCGATGATTCCAGGTTGGTTTCTTTATGGTCATCAGAGCTTTTATTATTGGTAATATTGTTGGTGAAGTCTTTAACCAAATTTTGTGCGTCTTTGTTGTTAGGGGTGCTGGTAACCATGCCAGCAGCTTCTTCATCGTTTGTTTTTAGTGTGGCATCCATGATTTGTGCTGTATTGGTTGTTTCTCAAAAAATATTTAAAGCAAACTAATTTTTTTATCTTTGTAGGAGTTTGTTTTTTCTGAATGCAACAGAAAATTTCCTTTATTAGTTTCTGCCTCTCTGTTTTCGAATTTTGAATGTTATTTCAAAGAACAGGTTTTATAGTGCAGTTTTCAGAATTGATTTTACTCTTGTCATTTCTATGAGTTTTGTTTTAGCTCATGTCAATATAGATTTTTCTTATAATTTGATTATATATTTTTACATATATCTAGACCGTTTTGACTGTATTTCTAAAGTTGAATTTAAATAATGGCTGGCAGTTGAGAGTTAATCTTTATTTATGTTTAATATATTTTCAAAAATCAATTCTCCTGTCACTCATCCTGTGCTTTTGCTATATATTTTGTTGCCGACATCTATTATGTTCGAAAATTGTCTTAAATATCTAAGGAGCATCGCGTATTTCCATTTTTATCGCAACTACTTTCACTTCCATGTTGGCATTACAAAATATTTATCTTGTGCCTCTTCAAACCCATTAAAGTTAAATGCTTCACATGCAAATACATGCAAACAACACACAAATTTGTTGGTTTTACAATAATTTCGCCAACATTATTTGGTTAATCTTTTATTTTTTCTTCGCCATAAAACTTTGATTGTTGCAGTTGTAACATTTCCGGCAATACTCGTAGACGATTTCCCTAAGGTCATTTCATCGACGTTGCCGCATCTGCTTTTTATGGCCGGCCGCCAAGCCTAATTTCCCCCAAAAGATTTTCCCGCTCTGTTGTTGTCTTTTTGATGACTTGGCAACATTAATTGCCAGTCGGGTGTGCATGAGTAGATTTTCCAAACTGTCACACAGTGCGCATTAAAAATGTACGCGCAACTCCCCTCTTAGGCCTACTTCACAACAAAATGACAAAACATTTTTAAATACTTAGTATATACTTGCTGCAATAATAAAATGTTTATAATGGCATATAGCTTGTTGACATTTAATGCCCAGATTTGCGATGCTTGGGCGTATTTGCATATGCAAGATGAAAATTTGCATAAAATATGCAACAACAAAGGCAAACTGAAGACGAACAAGAAATAGTACAACAACAAGAAGAAATAATAACAACAATCACAAGACAGGCAGCCGCTTCCCAAGGTCTGTAGTGCAGTCTGTTTTCTGTCTGCCCCAAATACTGCCAACAGATTTATTGTGGCACATAATCAACAACGCAAAAAAAGTAAACAAATAGCGAATAAATTTTTCATTGATTACGAGGCCGGCTCGTGTGTGAGGGTTTCCGCAGGTTAATTGAAAATGCGGCAGCCACCTCATAGGTGGATTCCTCTCTAACAGCTCTCTCTTTCTCTCTCTCTCTCTCTCTCTGATTACAGTAATGTGTGGCGAATTGCGCAACCGTCTCATGGAATTTTTGGCCAACTTCGAGAGCACAACAATCGCAAATTGTTTGGTAGTGTTAGCCAAGTTGTGTGGCATCTTCACCATAAACCCAACAAAAACAACAACAACAGTAGCTGAGCTTCCTCATAGTTGACTGACTGGCTGACTGACGAACTGATAGACGGCTTGACTGCCTGACTGCTACCTTATGTTGGGGCTGCAGCTGCAACATCTCTAATTTTTGGCTGCAACTCAACTCGACAGCAAACGAGATTTTCATTTTATTTTGTTTTCCATTTCCAGCTTGAATCGTTTGAATTGTTGATGCATACGAGTATATGCGAATAATTGGATTCACTGGAAATTTGCTGGTCGTAGTCGTTAAAAAAAAAGGAGCAGCTAGGGAGAAGTGGAGGCGAAATTTAGAAATCAATTATGGGATAAGTTATAAGTGCAAGAAAGTAGCTTTGTATTTTTGGAATGCTTAAATATTATTTAAATCAAACCAAGCAACATTATTGCCATTACTAGCTCGCGCTTAACGAGCCTTGACATCCTTACTGGTTACAAAGTACCTTAAAAAATTATAGACTAAGAATTAAATAGTTAATTAATTTGTTAATTCTGTTAGTAGTAGTATCAAGTATAGCAATGTTTTTTATATTGCTAGAAATAACCAATATCTCTTCATACGTAACACATACCTATTAATCAATTTTTGATTTTGATTTCTTTTTCATTTGTTTGCGTGCGATTCGTTTATTCAGTTTGGTAGAGCTCGAAGCTTAATTTTATATCGAAGTAACCCCATTTGGCAACAATATTCGCAAAACTACATTAACGCTTTATTTTAATGCACTTTTATAGTATTGATGGGAAAAATATAGACTAACATATATATAGCATGGATTCACTACGTAAGGCAACTACTATATGTCAGATTGAAATATGAATAGACTGAAGATTCACTTAAGTTTTTAAAGTTAATTATAATTATACAGAGATACAGATTTATGCTTTTTTTTATTCCCCTACTAGTTTGAAATTACAAAATAAATATCTTCACATGTTTTGTAAAAAAGTCGAATAATGTTTAGAAAACAGAAGTATTGTGGAGAGCATAATGGAAATTATAACTGAAATGCCAATAATATCAACAAGAAACTAAGACAAAGAGATTGAAAGTTATTCGACATCTTCCATCATTTGTGTGGAGTAAGCTTTATGTTCGTCATTAACGAACTAATAATAAAAGTAAATGATGCAATGTTTTTATGCAATATTTATGCAATGTTTTGAAGGCCAAAAAATGTGCAAAACAATTCGCAATTATTATGAAAGCGTATCACATTATAAGCTTTTAGATGGCAGCTTTTCATAGAAGTTGCTAATTGGATTTTATAGAATAGAATAGAATAGAATAGAATAGAATAGAATAGAATAGAATAGAATAGAATAGAATAGAATAGAATAGAATAGAATAGAATAGAATAGAATAGAATAGAATAGAATAGAATAGAATAGAATAGAATATAACAGAGGCTGCTATTTCTTCTTTGATGCAGCAATAAATAATTTCAATTATATTTTGTTAAACTTTAACACTGGGATAAACAGAAGTAGTTACATACTTGTATATGCAACTCCCTTTAAGACTTTGCTGACCTCAGCTTCGGCTTATGGATAAGTGCCAATAATTTCGCCTGAGGGCTGACACTTGACATGCAAACGATTATATATGTAGGAACCAAAATTTCGAGAGTTTGACCAAAATTGCTACCTTTTAACCACAGACTGTACGTCATTTTAAGTTTGCCGGCATCGGGGGAGAAGGCCTTTGGGTAAATAAAGAGACGCCCACATGTTCATCAAGCGGCAAATGCAATAAATTGCAGGCTTCACGATGCGGCAGCTGTTGCACGAACACACACACACACATACATACATACATACAAGATACAAGTGTGTGTATGTGAGCCCAAATTGCCTGCCACTTTGACAGACTTCTGCTTGAGCCAACACCAAATGTCTGTGTTTGCTGTGACAAGGCTGTCGAGGTTGCTTTTGTTGTTGTTGTTGCCACATCTCTATGACGATCTTCATAAAATATATTGAAGTGCTTTGCATAAATTTTTGGTGTTATGTGCTGCGCTCTTGTTGCGGCTCTTGTGGCTTAGACAATGCATTATTACTTTTTGCCTCCACTAGTACTCGTATTTTGTGTCTCTTCTTCTTTCTACTACAACACAATATATATCCGAGCAGGCACTTTGATGCGTCGGTTGGCCTTTAGTTGTATGACGAAAAACTCATAACAGAAAAAAAAGAAAAGAAAAACAATTAAGGTCAGATGTGGTCCCACGAGCACGCTGAAGATATCTTCCATGGGCTCTATGGCACAGAAAATTCGCTGTTTAAACTTTGACACTCATTAGAGCATGTGACAACAACAACAATCACCATTACAACAACAACAACAACAACAATAAACTGTTGCCCAACTCATATCATAAATTCATGGCGAGCCATTTATTTACGTGCAGTCGCTCTCAAATATTCATTTCATCTGCAGCCCGCACTCAAGCTGTGGATTTTTATTATTTGCGTTGTGTCTGGCACACAGAACTGACTCACTCATTAGAAGCATTTTCATGATTAAGCAAAACCGAACGAGGCTCATTTACATACATACATATGTATATGCAAACTAGCATACGTATGTATTGGTAGAATGGGAACACAAGCATCACATTAAAGCAGCTGCTGATTTCAGACAAATGCTGACAATGCCCTTAACATTTATAGTGGCAGGCCCTCACAAGCGATTTGTTCTTAAAAGTACATATACTTGTGGTATATGTGGTATATTCAGGATAGAAAAATTGATATTGCTGCTGGCAAATACATTGTAAATATCCTGTCGAATAAGACATGCTTAGGCTAACTTGTAAATTTATAAGTATTATTATAAAAAATAAATAAAACCTTTCTATAGCTTCGAGTTAGGGGAACAACAATTATAAGCTGATCTCTACAAAATAGTAAGGCTCCTTGATATTCCCAGCATAGTGTAATACATTTTTGGCAGAATCAGAAGTGAGAAGCGAGCGTCTTATTCATTACAACTATTAATGTAACTGGGTCAGAACATTTATTAATGTTCAATTTAAAAATAAGGGAACAACAATTATAAGCTAGAGATCTGCTCAGATCAGATCAGATCCTAAGGCACTTTAATATTCGCAGCATAGCTTGATACATTTTTGCGGAATCATAGAAGAGAGCATCTTTTTCTTTACAACTATCAACGTAAGAGCACTTACAAGTATTATGTTTAATTTAAAAAGTATTATAGATGCAGCAAAGCTTTTTGCAGTAACAAAGGATAAAACAAAAATTGTAAATATTATCTACGATTTATGGAATTGAACATTTGATTAGATTATGTATAGCTTTAAGAAACAGTCTGTCAAGCCATTGGTACATAAAAATCAATATAACTATCTTTTTTCATTGAAGTAAAATATATTTAATCGATATCGATCGAAGTAGGAGATACTTCGTCTTTTTGTACGAGTTCGAGAATATCGAGAATTATAAAAACTAGAAACTAAACTAAACTTAAGCTAAAGACTAGTGGATTAGTCTTTCCATACATATGTCTGTATATAATAAAGCTAGCCTCACAGATTCAACTTCGAGAATTATAAATGATTGAATATATAAACCAACAAATTAATGATAAATATTAGGATTGTCCACAATGTCCAATAAACAAGCTCCAATTTATAGTCTACAATTCTAACTGAAGCTTTAAATTATTTACAAATTAAATGCCATTTATTTAGACTTGTATACTAAAGCTCATAAATTTGAGTGCAAATGTTGCGTTGTGTTGCTGAGAGTTTTAGCCAACAATTTGCGAAATGCGTGCCATTGTGATATGCAAAGCAGGCAATGTGGTGTTAAAAAAAGTTTAATAAAAAGAAAGAGAGTCAAAAACGTCAGGGCATGACATCTGTTGCCGAAATTGGCTGAAAAGGGCCCAAATGAGTGCTTGGCCATATGACTGCTACTATTGTATATGGCTTCATGTGAGCCAGAGCCGGGCACCATGTGCATCCGGTTGTTGCTTCGTATATGTGTCAGTTGGTCGACTTGAGCAGCGGAATCAACATTGGAATCAACATCGACATCGAAGTCGACGTGATGGCAGCCGTGGGCTGGAGAGGGCCTGCAGCACACATACTCTTATAGTATGTATTATTGTATGTACGAGTATTTTTCAGCGGTCAGCCGACAGGTTCAAGTCTAACAAGGCCTGTGCAATTAAATAATTATTATTTAATAATACTCTTTTTTTCTTCTCCTGCTTTTTCCACCACTGTTTATTTTTGGGGCAGCACTCTCCTCGCGTTTTAAGTGCGCCGCGTATGCAGTGTCGAGGGTTTCACTTTTGTGTAATCGCTGGAAGTGGCACTTGAAGCATAATTTTGTGTTTTCTTGTGGGCGCCATGGGCCTCAGAGTGTTGGCTGTTTGTTAAATGGTTTTTGTTGTTGTTGTTGTTGCTTGTTGCTTGTTTGTTTGTTGTCTGCACTGCCATAATGAACTTGAACTTTATGACGCAAACTTTGAGTGCTGGACTAACTCACACTTTTACGCTTTTATGCTTTGAAGTCTACGACTTTTGAACTCATTAAATTAAACATCGGCGAACGAATGTAAAGCATTTTAATGATGTCTGCACAAAACTTTGAACTCAAATGCAATGAATAAATTAAAATAATTGCACAATGCGTTCAATTCAATTTCAAATACTAACAATTTAATCTCATTTATTTCAGCTCATTAACACATTCTGCGAGCAAAACTGTCGCCATTATTCATTCAACATGTTATTTCAATTATTATTAAAAATAAATAATAATAACGCCACTCGCCGCCGATATAATTCCAAATTAGCGATATTCCCAATTTTCGGCTTCTATCTCCAAATACACGAAATAGAACAAATAATCGTATTAATTAGATTTTCTTCGCCAAACCTGCCAAATTATGGCACATGCCCCTAGAATAAATATATATTTATAGTAGTATGTGCGGAATATTTAATTAAAATGAAAATTGAATGGAGGCGCCCCATAAAATTGGATCGGTTGTTTGCGTGCGCGTGTTTGAAGAGCGTGTGACAAACTGTCCAAATAATAATAGTTGTTGCAGCTATTGTTGTTGTTGTTGTTGTTGGTTTTAGTATGCACAACAAATGTTATAGTTTCGTAATGAAATCACTAAATATTTACGCCAAGCAGATGCAATCATTAAAAGTGTGCTGCCGAGGAGGGAGTTCTTTGGGACTTTCCTCCAAAAAAACAGTAAGAGGAAAGTTGCTTGACAACTGAAACAAATATGAGTGTGCCAAGGAAGCTAAAAGCCCGATTTAGCCCAATCAGTAGGCTTCAATAATTCCGATAAACTTCAGATAATTTATAAACTTTATCGTTAATCTACTCGCCTTGACGATTAACAAACGGATTTATTTTGAAAACTAAAAAGTCTCTAAACTGAATTGCTGATGTATAGTTTCTTTTTGTATTGTGATTTTTCAATAAGTAAGCTTAAATTAAATAAATAAACACTTTTGTGTACAAGCAACTTAAAGCCAGATTGTTCTTGTTTTTCACAGTTAGTTGACATTTTGGCTTGGCAAGTGCTGGGCCAATGTAATTGAAGCTAGTTCACGTACTTTAAATGCCAACTAACGATAATCATTTAAATAAAAATTAACTTGCAAGTGAAAGTACAGCACAACAACAGCAATAAAATGAACAAAAACACCAAAATTGAGCGGCATGAGAAAGTCGGAGCAACAAAATAATGGAAAAAAGAAGACATGGCCAGGCAATTCAAAGACAATTCAAATTCATGAAATACTGTCTCCAACTGGCCAAGCAATGAAACGTTAGCTGCTTGGCTTTGTCAGTCGCCTTGTTTATATGTAAGTATACACAAACATATAGATATATACTTAATGCTTAGGTATGTCTGTGTGTGTTGTGGCTGCCGCACAGATGCAAACTAACTACCAGGTTTTGGCCATTTCAGCCACTTAAGTGGCATTCACCTCATGATTGTTTTTTAGCCAGCAGCTATTTTACTTTTCGGCTGCAGCCTTTCAACGATGTGGCTTAAGGCTCTTCGGGCTTATTTATCTACCCAAGTGGTTTATGGGTATTTGATAGTTTCATGAATGCTTTACAGTTGAAGAACTACTTCAGATTTACGCCCTAAACATTTCCCCAGCAGCAAAAGAAGATTGAAATAAACTGCCATACAATAAAAATCGGCGAAATGAAATTGAAAGTGGCGCTGGAAAAAAATGAACAAGAGATAAAATGTACCTAAACATGCCGCGGTTTTTGCTACCGACGCAGCAGAAGTAGTGCCCATAAAAAGTAAAAACATGAAGACGCCGAACACGCAGACGGAGATGATGACGACCTTGTATATATGCATTGGGTTACGTTGCGTAACGTAGCCAAAAAAAGAAGACAAAAGATAAATAAAAAAAAAATACAACTAAAAAGAGGAAGCCGCAAAAGCTCATGAGCATGAACTGCAGAAAATTACAAACCGGCCTCCGAAGGTGTAAGTACCGCCAGCTGAGAGCTCTACGGATAGTGGAACTAAAGTGTGGCAAGCCGGTTGGGTGAGAAGTTTTTATCGGCCTTTTCTCTTTCGTTTCGGTTTCTTTTTACCTCTTATTTTTTGTTGTTGTACGTTGCTTCATCAGAGCGACACAAATCTTTAATTATTCATAGACACAAATGTCATATAAGAATGTCAACAAAGAGTTTTTTTTAGGATTTTTGAAGGCCGCCTTAATGCTGGGCGTCGTTTTAAAAGGGGCGCTTAAAATCAATTGGCGGAAGTGTTTAAAATTGTGTTTGAAGTAGCGAGGGAGCAACGAAGCTAGTATGTTGCCTTCTAAAATTAATTCTATCAATCCCACACCGAAGTAATGAATAATTTATTTGTAGGTCGTATACGTAGATAACCTGCCAGAACTGTGATGTGATTTTTATAGTAATTTAGTAGCTAATTTGAACATCAAACTTCAATCTCAGCTACAATACTGTATGCCAATATGTGTTTAATTTTTTTTGCCATGCAAGGTGGGTCAAGTTGTAAGCTTCACTTTGTCTAATTGATGAAGATTTATAAATATAGCTGAAGTGCTTAAAAAATAAGGAATATTATGCTTATGTGAATCATACCGTTCTCAATTTTGATTTGCTTACTTGAAATAAAAAGAAGTACTTATAAATTGTTCCTGATTAAAACTTTAACAGCCCCCAACAAAATCCATTAATTATTTGTTCCGAAATGTACTAAGATAAGAAATATATATTTAAAATATAATATAATTAGAATGTACTAAGATCTGAAAAAAAATGCAGTTCCTTTTATTTTCACTTGATTTATTTTCATTCGAAAGATGAAATATAGACAGAAACTGTACTTTTCAGACCATACTGGAAAGAAGTTTTGCGAAATTCAACCCCGTAATGGGGTAAATGTGCATTTAAAAGAAATTTATACTGTACAAATCTGAAGGGCAAACAGAACTAGTAAAAGAGTTAGTAAACATGTAGTTTATGTTATTAAGTTGAAGCGGGAAAACTATGGCATTCCGCATTTGTATCGCTTGTAGGTTTTGATATATCTCAAATCGATTTATCACTCAAAATGCGAAGCGATATGCCTTGTTAATAGCACTTAAATGTTAGAATTGGCAGACTCCACCTTTAGTACGATTTACTGAGTTAAAAATGATCTATGGCATTTATATCGGACTGTTTTGTACGCTATATGCGAGCACTCAAGTCTCTGGCATTATTTCGGTGCCCGCAAAGCCCTTGAGTGGTTGCATATTGGGCGTATGCTTATCGGTTGATTTAGAAGGAGCAAATAAAAGACCAGCGAATTCGGAGGAGGAGAAAATTGACAAACCAAAGGTGCTGCAGAAACCCAAGGAACAAAAAAAGAAGCAAAATTGTTTGCTGGGTCTATGCCTAGGAATACAGCAGCATCAAGAACAAAAACAACAAGTTCAACTTGATCTGAATTTAAACGAGAATAAAAAGCAGCAACAGCTGGAAGAGGAAGAGAGAAAGAAAGCGCTAAATCAACAATCTGAAGACGAAAAGAAACAACAGCTCTCAGAAATTCAGTTCCAAAATCAAAAGCTCCAGCAACAGCTAATGGAGCAGGAGAGGCTGCAAGAACAGCTGATGCAGAGGCAACAGCGTCATCAGAAGCTGCAGCAGGAGCTGGCGCTGCAGCAACATAAGCTGCAGCAAGAAAAGGATCTGAACGAGCAACAGGTTCAGCTGCAGCAGAAGTTGTTGCGGCAGCAAGAGCAGCTACTGCAGCAGCAAAAGCTGCAGCAGAAAGAGTTGCAGCAACTGGACTCCTCCATTGTTCAGATACCACTCTACCAGGGTCTGCAGATTTCCCCACAAGTCCTGCAGCTCATACAACAGAGTCGTAATGTTCTGGCGCCCCAACAGAATGGTCAATTCCCAACTCCAGTTGCAGTTCAGCCGCAGCAACATGCCCCGATCTTAGAAGGGCCCACCAATCCGGACGATTTTACTGAAGAAACCATAGAAAGGGACTCGAAACTGACAACAGTAAGCCACTTTACAATTATTTCCGCTTTCTGTACAATCATTTATAACGCTCTTCAATTATCAGGTGGAACTAATTGCACAATACCATTATCCGGTGGAGACGCATTACGTAACAACAGGCGATGGTTATGTGCTTTGCTTGCATCGCATTCCACGTCCCGATTCTCAGCCGATCCTGCTCGTCCATGGTCTTATGTCCAGCTCAGCCTCGTGGGTGCAGATGGGGCCGCGAAATGGACTAGCCTACATATTATTTCGGCGGGGCTATGATGTCTGGATGCTGAACACCCGAGGAAATGTCTACTCGAAAAAACACTCCAATCCGCGTATCAAGCCTTCCAGTTATTGGAGCTTCTCCTTCCATGAGATTGGCAAATTCGATTTGCCTGCAACCATAGATTTCATTTTGAATACGACCGGCTTGGCTAAAGTTCAGTATATAGGACACTCACAAGGCTGTACAGCCTTCTTTGTGATGTGCAGCGAGCGACGGGGCTACGCCAAAAAGATATCGCTGATGCAGGCCCTCTCCCCGACTACTTACATGAAACACACACGAAGTCCGGTGTTGCAGTTCCTATCGCTGTTCAAGCACAGATTCACGGTGAGTGGACAAAATCCTGTAAAATTGTCTACCGATTCTCGAACTCCTCTTTAACTTTATTCTTGTCCATTTTTTTTTATTGTAGGTCATGTTGAATCTGCTGGGTGGTTTTCAACTCTCGCTCAATACACATCTAATAAGGCTATTTCGCAAGGACATTTGCAATGAAAAGACCAGTCCGATTTGCAGTGTGTTTGATTTCATTGTGTGCGGTTTCGATTGGAAACAATTCAATGAGGTACCTAATATATTCAAAATTGTCGCATCGTTTTTTCCACACTCTATATTTTTTGACTTCGCAGACCCTTGCGCCTTTGGTTCTGGGACATGTCTCGCAGGGTGCTTCCACCAAGCAAATCTATCACTATGCCCAGCTGCACGGAGTTAAAAAGTTTCAGCAATTCGACCATGGTTCCACGGCCAATTTACAAATCTACAGACAAATGACCCCACCAACCTACAATCTGTCGGCGGTTACGTGCAAGGTGGCTCTCCATTACGGCAGCAACGATTGGCTGAGCTCGGAAAAGGATGTCAACCGTCTGTACAGTAATCTGCCGAATTGCATCGAGAACCGGCAAATAGATTTCCCACAGTTCAGTCATTATGATTTTACCATATCGAAAGATGTTCGTCCGCTTGTCTACAATCGCGTTTGTGATCTCGTGAAGCAGTATGCATATGTTGGCTAATCTCAAAAACACCTTACACATGGATTTTGTTGTTGCTGGAAAAAGCGAAAATGGTTATCTTTTGCATATTTCGCATTTTGCGGCTTGTAAATAAATGATATTATCTCGTTGTGGTGATCTTTAATAATAAAAAGCTATAGAAAATAGAGGAAATATTTGGGGTGCACACATGAAAACATGTTTTTTGGCATTTGGCATTTGCTTGAAAGAAATTTGATATAAACCATTGAAGCCACAATAAATGGAAAATATCAAAATTAGAGCTTAGCATATTCGGTTTTTCCATTTTCTTCTGTCCAGTATCTTTTTTCATTACTAATACAATTAATATTTCCCTTGAACTAATTCTAACTCTCTGCGAATCTAACATTGTTTTAGAAAAGGTTACTCTTTTTCTCTTAAATAAAATGTGGATTTTTATTTATATTTTATTTATATTTGCTCAATGAACCTTTGAAGTGCAGCTTTTTTATTTAACCGCATTTTGTTGAACTGTCAGTCAGTTGTGCGCCCAACACATCACCGTTTAGAACCGGTCCTGGCCTCGCTTTTGGGCACACCGACGAGCATCAAACTTTTTGATAAAATGTTAATTTGTAGAACACTCATCGGCAGCAGCATCATCGGCCTACGTTTCGACTGTTAACGCACCTAAGATTGAAATTCCTTTTTAGACAGATACAGATACACAAATGTTTTTTTTTTCATTCGTGTGTTTCGAGTTCTCTTCGACTAATGCACAAATTCAACGAAAAAGAAGAAAAAGAAAAACCTGTTCACTGGCTTTGAATTTAATTAATTTTAAACGAGTCTTTTGTTGCTTATTTCAAGAGCAAGCCCATTCCAGTATTTATTTGTATCATATTCAATTTGATTATATGTTACAAATAATGCCATTAGTTGTTGCGAGTATCTCGTGCGCGCTTGACAAACAGAGCGTAACTGCGTGTCACACAAGTCAGAGCACAATTTGAATCTTTTTGCCTTCCATTTCCTATTCAGCACTTCCACTGCACATACATATGTTGGATATACTTGTATTATTTGCCACTCGATGGTACGTTATGATTTCAGCAATAAATCGAATTTATGATGCGTAAAGCCAAGTTTGAAAAGTTTGAACTTGAATCCACACATACTCGTGTATTCTTTTTCAAAGCAGCTCCCATTATTTTTGGCGCAGCTGCTAAACGGCAAGGCCACAAAAGTTAACTGCCACTCTAACATACGAGTATCTCTTAAATATTTTGTGCAAATGTCATTACAAGAGTTGTAATATTTTCCAATCAAATTAGTAAGCATTAAAATATTGCCCAGAAATATTTGTCGCTATATATTGACAAGGTTGTAATACAATATAATCTCATTTGCGTTGATATTTGATGGAAATACTCGTGTATTTTCAGAATAAAATGTCTAATCGTATGCCTCTTTATTATCTTTATTTAACAACGGAATGCAATATCTCCTCATATCTACAGCTTCTGCTGAAATCAATTAATTTTATTAGGCACATTTAATAACTGTTTGAATTAATTATATTATAATTATATTTATTTAAAATTAGAATCAAATTTAAGCAAATCTAAAAAAAAAAGCCACAGCTTTCATTATATACTTACTTATAATCATAATTTCAATTATTTTTAGTAATTAATTAAATATTTATTCTTTTAATTCTTAGCTAAAACTTTGTTTTAAAATATTTAAATAATGCTTATAGACCTTAACTTATACAAGACCTTTACAGAAAATACAAATGGTGATTGATAACTCGGCCATGGGAGCGCAACCTTTAAATAATATGAAAGAAGTTTGTTTTTTATTCTCCAGCTAGTGCCGCTTTTTGTTGACTGATTAGCTATATTTAAGCCGGTTTTGAGTCTGCTGCTGCTCCTATTTCTTGCATCAGAGGCAAGTGATTTAGTTATGCACTAAGAAAGTCTCGCCTTTCCATTTATCTTGCGCTCCTTTGATACTCTTCTTACGCCAAGTATCTTGATCCTCTCCTAATGACTTGCAGACGACTAAGGTTGCATTTAACAAATAAATAAACTAACGCTTGATGGCTTGGCTTTAAAATATTTAAATCTGGCAAAGAGTACAAATAAAATAAGCACGTTTTTGTTTGATTTCTGAAACTGATAGTGCAAGACAAATGCTGCATAGCGTCTGCTTTCCTGCTGTTATACGAAAGTATTCCATTCTGCTATTTTATTTAAGTTTTTTGTTGCCATGTAGTACGTGCTTTGGTAGAAAATCTGCTGCTAAAATTGCTTGCATTTTGATGAAGTCCCAATATCATTAGCGCCGGATTGCTCATAGCAAATCAAAGGAAAGCAACAAGAAATGAAAACACTCATCGAGTTGTATAACAAATGCGCCCGCTGCTAACAATTACGAGTGTGTTAATTGCATGTTTTGTTTCTTCAACAACATTTTCCTAAATATGTATACCTCTCATTTCATTTCGTACCCAAATCTGACAGTCACTTTTCATGTAATGCATACGATGAGCGAGCAGAAATATTGTTACCACTCGCACCACTCGCACCACTCGCACCACCACTACTGTGGTTACTTCACTCAAGACGAGCTTATGAATGAAACACAAAGGCAAATGAAGTGATGAAGTGTGTGTGGACCGGCAGCTTGTGAACTTGACAATGTCTGGCAGGTCTACGAGTACGCGTATATCTATGTAGAGCGTCATGAGAGAGGTGTGAATGATTATGACATAATGAATAGAGGCTGGCGATTATACGTAAACATGAAGCGGCTGGCCAGATGCTGCTTGGCAAATGGACAGACCAATTTCTGATGGTATTGAGAGTGGAACAAAAAAGCATAACTTAATACAGTTTTTATTTCTCATTTCTCAGCTCCAATTATGTCTAATTATAGGCCTTTGCTATACTTTTCAAAGTCTGCAAACAGCACAGCTGTTCAATTTATCAAAAGTCGAGGTGAAGCTACTACTTGATGCCACTCTTTTGTGTCAGTTATTCAAGATTTATTGCAGCTGGCATTTACTTTTGTTAACATTTTAAACGTATTTTTTTCAATCTTCATGACAATTCGCACAATATTTGTTTTGATTTTTCTTTGCATGATACATACTCTTTGAAAATATGTGTTTTAGCTTCATGCTGGTGTTTGCAACGCCTTGCAGAAAACTTTGTTTTTTAAAAGAACTTCAAACAATAGACTGCAAGAAACCACAAAAATGAATGTACTTTTGGTTGAAGTGAATATATTGCGCCAAAAGCTCGTATTATATTACTTTCAAGTTGATGTATTAACCAATTGTCTTGCCTCAAATTTTCCCACATATTTTCGTCTATGCTTAGATTTTTGACTCGGTATTTTAATTGTTTATCAAAACGGTTGAGGCAGCTTGCAGTCGAAATAAGCTGATAAATAAAACGGAACATGTTTCAAAAAAAAAAACTTTAAAAAAAAGCTGAACCTGTTGTACGTTTTGAACCTGTCTAGAAATTTAAAAGCTGTTCAAAAATGATTCATGATTCAACGACAGCAAAAATTAGACGAATATGGGTGCAAAACTCGTTCGAAACGTATTCAAATAAAATTTGTGATGCAAAAAGAAATATATTTATAAAAGGTAGCGAAAAAATGATTCCGAATTGGAATATATGAATATAATTATAATTAAAAAAATATTTGGTATCAGCAATTTTAAAGAGAGAATAAAATATCTCTTCATTCGCCAGTTTTATTTAGCTTTTATTTCGTTTAATAAACACCTACTCGTATCTGTAATTCTTCAAATTTTTGTGAATATTTTCAGTTCCGTAAAATTCAAGAGCCACAACCACTAGGCCTAAGGAATAGTCAACCCACAAGTTACTTGAAAAGGGCATGCGTTGGAAAGTAAACAACATCATCGCTTCATAAGTTATGTATAGCTTACAATCTATTATTTATTTATTTACCTTGACAAAATTGTATTTGTGCTCTTTGCAGAAAACAAACACACTTTCGTGTTTGAAGATATATTGTTTGTGTGTGTGCGTTCATATATTTCCCAGAATGTGTAATGTGTGTGTGTGGAATGAAAGATGGAATGCTATTTTCAATTTATTTTAGCAATTTCCAGCTTTATTTGGCTTGTTAAAGTTAAGAGAAAAGAACGAACGATGGAATTACAATACACTGCATGTAATAAACATGAGAATGAAATGTCTAGAAAAATGTTTTCAGCTTGAAAATTGCAAAATGCATAAATGTATGTATAAATATCGCATATATCATTGAACGAGCATTTTTAGTTTACTGTCTTTTTCTGTTGCATATTTAAATGAATATTTTAATTGCATTGCGCCAGAGTCTGGCCCTGCATGCACATACAATACAATATATACAAATAATTCATCTGCGCGCCAAGGCCGGCAAACAAAACGCATAAAGAACGGCCATGACGAAGTGGGTTTGCTTTTTTATTTTGAAACACTTTTAAATGCGTGCAATTAAAATGAAAATATTAAGTGTAATAATATTAAAAATGTGGGCACCATTTGCAGAGAGGGCTCTCAAAACCTGAAAGGCAAAAACTGTGCGCCGCACACCCACACACACACACACACACACAAACGCACACACCAACGCACACACTTAAGTAATGTGAAGTGCGAAAAGCAATTGAATTATATTTTGTTAATTACACTTTTGATCTTTGCAATTATTTTTAAATTGAGGCAAAATATAATTATTGAAAATTAATTCAAAAGAGCTGAGTGCATCTGTTTGTACAATCCATGCAAAAAAGTTCACAACTGACAACTGTGCAAATAAAGCCGATTACATCGCCACACACACACACACACACACACACACACACACACATACAAATACAAACAAAAACACACACCATATATGGCCACAGGCCACTTAAAAGTTGGCAGGCGACCACGCGGCGTATACGCAATGAGCTCTTGTTGGTTGTCATTTATCATAACCGACCGAAATATTTTTCATTTAAACTTGATTTTTCACGGAAATGCAAGTCGACACGACGTCACACGGCGTGGTCCCTTTGGCTTCGTTGCGTTTCGTTTGGCTTTGATTTTGGTTTTGGTTTTGCATTCAAAACTTTGGAATGGCTTTAATCAACGACAGACAGCTGCCCCCACCCCGATACACCTACGAGTAGTTTGGTTGGCGGTTTGTATTTTAATTTACAGGGTTTACGTCATGCAGACATATACGTATTTATAGATTTATTCAAGAGGTCGGGTATATAAAGCTACCTGCTACATACAAGTACTATATCAGCCAGCGGCGATAAGCCTTATGCTATAAATATTTTAAATTTGTCAGCGTTTCTTTTTTTTTAATTTTTAAATGATAGTACGAGTACGAGTACGTGTACTAACTAGTAAGTCTGGGCCGACAACTTGCTTAAATTACGTGTATTTATCTTCGTTATTCTTACAGCTACTACACTTAAAAAAAAAAGGATTTACATAGGGAAAATCATAATAGACCATAATATGAAATATTGGGAATGTTGTAGTTACATCTGACGGCTATTAAGCAGTCTTGTGGTGCGTTAAATTAAAAATAAGTATGAAATTCGTTCTAAAGATAAGATTATACGGTTTATAGTTCGCTGTTCTGTACCATGGAGGAAACAAGTTTTCATTGCAGGGTACAGAGCTTAAGCTCAGAAGTTTACTTTTTAGCTCGTCTTTAATTGCCTTTTTGACACTCTATGCAGTTGTACTTAAAAGCATTTTTTATAGTCACTTAGTTGAGATGCAAAGGCTATTCTCTGGCCCAGCTCGACAACGGTCTGACTCTTCCACTCGTATTAATCCGATTCGAACTGTGATGGAAATGGAAGAATGACGAGAGCTTATGTACTTATTTTAGCTTCATTTAAGCTTACATAAGTGTTACGAATCACCATCACTATCTCTGCAGAAATTATCGTTAAAAAAAGTACATTTCGAAAATAGTGCTGTAATTTGACATTCGCAATTAAGATTAATGTCGTAGATCGACAATGTTTTAAGTGCAACAGCTCCATTAGAGAGTAGGCGCTAATCAGCCAACCTGCTCCACTTAAAACTATTGTGCTTTCCCCCCTCCCTTTTGGTGAGAAATAATGTCACCCGCGATAAGCAAATGAGGGTGCCAATGACAAAGTGCGAGTATGCCTTCTTAATTACCCATACGCACTATTTAACGGCATTACTCGATAGAGAGCCAGACATGCCCGACGGCCAACAACGCCGACGACTATCGACGTCAGCGGCATTTAAGAATAACGGGCTTAATTAAAAAAAAAGAGAGAAGAAAAACACGAACAACTACAAAAACAGTAACGACTGAAAGCAGAAATGATACGCAACGCCGGCAGAATGAAAAGCGTTTGTTTTTATTGTTGTTGTTGTTGCTGTTGTTGTTGTTGTTGCTGTTGTAGAGTTTGTGTTGTTGGTCGGTACGTGTGACTAATTATATGTATGCCGCGCAGCACCAAAGCCAGTCAGTCAGAGCGCGAAGAGAAAACAATGACAGCCAGTTGTTGCATTGTTGTTGTCAAATAATTACCATGCAAGCCAGAAGATATGTCTGATGAGGTAGAACGTTCCAAGAAATATGCCTCATCAATCTATTATCTATAGTATGCTCATGCGTACATGGATCAATAATATGGATATCTAGGAGCTGGGCCTATCATTTCCGGAACAAAACAATTGCCACGTATAAGCTAGATAGTGAAATAGTGCTTGGCAACCTTAGCTAAATAAATATGTTTTGATATTGAAAAAAAGGCTGTTTTTGTAATTTGAATGCCACTTTCAAAATAGAAGCATCAGATTTGTCACTTTTTTAACTTCTAAAAATCATTTACAGTTGCTTATTATGTACGTAATATATTTGTAATAAATTCGTAATTGTGTGAACAAACAAATGTGTTTTTCTTTAAATTTTCAAGTCCTAAGACTTTAGACACATAACATTCTTTAGACGGAAGAAGCATTGCTAGGAAAGTGTTTGCCTTCAACATAATATTTTTGAAGAGGATAAGTGGAATGTTTACTACAGCTTCTTCATTCGATTATAGTTATACTTTCTACAAAATATTTCATGATGTGAAAGCTTAAAATATTAAACGATATTCATACCTTGCTCTAAAAATTCTTAATTTACGGGAGATGGCAATGTTTTCTTGAGTATTATAAATAACAATTATATGCGCACCCTTTATATACACCCCATATTTTCCCATTTCGTAATATAATTGCACTTTTAATAAATAAAATAGGCGACACCTTGTTTTTGTAAACCCACAAATGGTAACAATAATTGCTGTTTTTTCTTACCTTCTCTGTGCTGGACTGAAAGTAGTAAACCATCACAAACATCCAGATGACGCTGACAAAGACAATTAGTTTGATATTTCGTCGCATTTTGTTTTATTTTTTGTGTTGGCAGCTTCTGGTTGGTTGCTTTTTGCAGCGACTGTTGCGGTTGGTCGTGTAACGGACGTGTTGCTATAGTAGTTGCTGTTGTTGTTATTGTTGCCGTTTCTTTGGCAGGCAATGCTTTTAGTTTATTTCACTATTTAAAACAGAAAATTATGTGGATTAATTACACATACACGCAAATACACATACACATATACGCGTGTGTGTGTGTGTGTGTGTGTGTGTGTAATTATGTAATTGAAAAATCTGTTTTTGATTGTTTTTCTTTTTGCGACAAACGCGTACGTTTATTGTTGTTGTTGTTGTTGTTGCCCGCTATTTATTTATGTCATCCACCTGTATTATTAATTTAATTAATTATATACTTATTTGCTGTGATTTATGAATACAACAGGGTGGTTAATGTGGCTTTCAGGGACGACCGCAAGGACAGAAAGAGAATAAAGTTCGGAAATACGTTTGAATTGACAATTAATTAGCGATTCGGTCTGCTGGTAGTAATGTAATAAATTGTTGAATATTTCTAAGCCTAAGCTATGGCTACATATTGACAAAGGGCTTATAGGAATAGATTTGAAGAAAAAGTATGAAAAAAAAAACAATTTAGGGCGGTCGATAATGCAGCCGAGAGGTACGTTTAATTATTGGAATATTAAATAAAGAGGCATATTAGTAGTCAGCGAATAAAACATTTGTAATTTCAGAACATATTATTGCATTTCTCCAATATTAACTGGACTGGAAATTTTAGGTACCTGTCTGCCACTTTCTAGCTTTCAAGTCGAGCAATTTAGTTTAAATACTTGCCGATAAAGCCCCGCTCATTTTATTATTATATTATTTATATATTCCCTTCATATAATGTATATATATTTATCAATGCTTTAAAAGCTATATTTTAAATGGCTGCAGTTATTTAATAACTCTTGTCACCATTATTTATTCTTTAAATAAGCATGAGACAGTCAGATCTAGAAGTTGTTAAAGCTTTTCAAACATTTAAGCTGCAACAATTTAAGCAATTATTTTAGCAATTTGTTGATATAAGTTGTCAAAAGTAGATAAGCAGACCTCAAATGTTATTATAACGATTGATATTGATTTCTGCATTTCTTTCAATATTTATGGATATAGATGGGACTGAACTCTCTCTCTCTCTCCTAAAAACAGTGCCACCTACGCAAACAAGTTCGATATTTTCCAATATTTTATGGGCTGTCTTTTGTGAATGACTTCCCTTTAAAATAACAGTATTTAACTGTAAATCAAAAGAGTGAGTAATAGCTGGTCGCTCTAATGTAAAACAGAATGCAATCTTAATCAGACTGCAGTTGTTAAATGGTTTGCTAAGCCACTTGAATAACAGCAAATATTAACATTTGTTTTTCCAGCTATCTTTTAAAACCCCCTTGTAATGTTAACTAAATTTGTAAGTTCTGCATGTTTAAACAAGGCTATCTGCGAGATAGACAATGTAAACGGCAACAATATGCACAACCGCCAAGTTGAAAGCAATTCATATGGATTGTGAGAGCTTTTTAGCCGAACGCACTCGCTCGAAATAAAAGTGATTTGAAATCGAACGATGGCCATTCACAGAAGAAGAAGCAACAACAATATAGTAAACTACACTATAATACGCTGCACAGGGAAACGAAATTTATTATTAATTTGTTTGGTTTATTTTTTAGGCAGTGCTTCTCTGTCGTTGCTGTTGGAATTAGAGAAAGTAAATAACAGCTGACGATGAGACAGAGCGGCCGTTTGATTGCGTATACGCACTGTGTTTGATAAGATAAAGGTGAAGCTTTTAAGTACACATACATATATACAGGGTGTCAAGTTTGTAAATATCTATCGGTATGTTTCTTCTATTGATTGAACTTTCTCAACTGCACATTGGTATTTGTGTTAATTTTTATTACGCACAATAATGCCGTAACTTTGCAAATAAGTAATCACAATTAAACGCACACAAACGCACCGATACCGCCAATTACCGGCAAACCAATTGGTCGAGCACGTTAACGTTTTATCTTCAGCTGGCTTTTATGGCCAGCGATTCTTCTTATTTTTCGCTTTTGTTGTTATTTATGTCGCGGACATTCACTCGCTTCTTTTTTGATTACATCAATTCAATTGCATTTACCGCTCTTGCTGTTGTTGCTGTTCTTAACTGTTGTCGAATTTGATTAGAATTGTTGTTGTTTGGTTTGGATTGGTTTGGATTGGTTTGTTGGTTTGTTGCTATCGCAGGTCGCAGTTTGGCAGCCGCGTGCCCGATTCGTGGCGCGCACAGACAGCGTCGCTAACACAAATGGCCAAAAAGTAAGACATCGCGTATATTTTATGCTGCCTGCTGGCCTGTATAAGAGCTCGCGCGTATAAGAGTTGGCGCTGGTTCGAAGCGCACATGTTCGCTCCAACAAGTATGCGCTATTGGTTGTGTTTATTTATTTTGTAAAACGGCTTCAATAAAAACTCTTCTTCGCACAGTTGGCATAACTGGACAATAGAGTGGTATTTAATTAATATAATTTTTAAAAAAGCAGTTCTTTTATTTATTTGTATAAATATACAAAAAATTGCCCGAAATAACATTTTTTTTTAAATTAAAGTTAAGTTAAAACGAAAAGTATGAGTATAAAACAAAATTTAAGCGTTATAAATAAAGCAACTTTTTTTAAATTGTTAAATGAAAAGCCTGATCTATACTGTTTTATTAATGTAATAACATGGCTATATACTAATCTTCTATATATTTTCATTATATGTATGTACACAAATAATTTTAATTAAATTGAATAAATCCTAGGTATATTAGTTATTTGGTAAATATAGCAAAGAAAAGAATATTGTTAGCTTCATTGTGTTTTAAGTAGTTGCTGCCAAATCTCATTGAAATATTTGGATCTACCATTGCGCCCACTGTGCCTCGCCATCGTCGTTTAAGGCCTTTATTGACATTTGGTAAAGCATACTGGGCGTATGCGCTATTTGGTTTTACAATTGCAGAAGGTGTAAAGGTCATCAAGCACGATATATAGACATAACTTTTTGCCGTTTGCCAATTGTATTCATTTCGGTGATTAATGCTTGCATGGAGGCAAAAAGTAGCCCGGTGTTTTAGAGGATTGGCGATAAAAAGTGATTACAATGCAATGCTAATACTATCGTTTATTACATAAGGAAGCAGATTAGAAAAATATGATTGTTTGCACTTTTTGCCTTCAATGTTCAGCGCTTTTAAATCTTCCATCATTATCAATCCGTAGGACTGCCATTGGTCTGGGTTTGCGTAACAAGCTGATTATTGGCAAAATGGACTCCTCCTTGAATACCAACTAAGAATTGTTTTCCATTTAAATTGTCTAATTGCATGATCAACTACGATTTTCACAATCACTTTTCGCACAAAATAAATTAGTTTTAGATAAATATATAAAATTTCTATTACAATTTGGTTTAATTGTTGAACACAGCTTTTTCTCAAACTGCATTATATTTTACTCGACCAGTTTATTAGTAATTCAGTTAGTTTCTATTCAAAGCCCATGCATTGGCCAGCTGTGGAAATAATTCCAATCCATATTGAATTAAGCCAAATCAAATATTCATGGAACGCTCACGCAAAAAATGCAATTATGCAGTAAAAAACAGTAACAGACATACATATTTTAATCACTCATCATCAGTTAGCGGAAAATACGAACTGAAACTGAATTTTGTAAATTTTTGCAATGCATGCCATTTGAGATAAATGTCTGCATTATTTATACACTTCGTAGATATGTGCCAACGAGGGCCATAAGCTTAAAAAACCAATGGGAAAAATCCAACAAAAAGCTAAGCAGAAATACACACAAGCGGGATAAAGCCACACACACACACACACACACACACACATCCACACATAAATACTAAACAGCGACGGCGAAGCAACTTTTGTGGCCATTGGCAGTGTTGATGACTTCGGTTCCGGTTCTTCCTCTCTCTCCCCCTCTTTCCCTTAACCTATTTAAATTGGCTTAAACGCAACGAGGAATGCTCAACTTGAATTGCAGTCGAACAGCAACAAAGTCATGAATATGCAGAAAGACATACTCAGATAGTTAGATATATATACACATATATATTCAGATAGATATACAGACAGAAGGACGGATTTATAAGCAGACACTCAAACAATTACAGAAATACATGCACATATGCAATCAAGTATGAGTGGCATTCCATTAGGCGTAATTAGAGCATTTAACTGGGAAAAAGTTAAGAAAAGCCGCAAACAGACAGTTAGAAAAGCGCCAACAAACACCCACATGCACAAGAAATTCATAAAAGCAGTGAAGCTTCCTCTTCACACAATCAATAATATTCATTTTGTGAGTAATTAAAAGCTCTTAGTAAGTTAATTAAACGCCTGAAGATGTTTCTTTACTGATGAACAATCCAAATTTGAAAACTAGCAGCTTAGCTAAGCGCGAAATAACAATTTTAAAAATTAAACAAAGCAACAGAAATGTTGTTTAAAGAAGAAGCTTGTGTGCTTGCCTAGAATTCCAAATTGAGTTGTTAATTATGAAACTTTTCTATTGATGTACATACTTTGAATAGCACAAGAGCGGAAAGCCCTACAAAGTTTCTAACCCAGCTAAGTACAAGTAATGACTACAAGAAAAAAGTAATTGTCTTTTTTCGCAAATTCGTGCAAATTGTTAAATTAATAAGCTTATCTCCTATGCTTCAATTCAGACCCTTTTAAATTGGTAGTCCTGTGCTCAAATTGTTTCGGGAAATACTCGTATGCCTATCGTATATACTTCAATATGATTCTTTACTGTTTCTTTGCATTTATCATATGCGCTTAAAATATTTCCTTTGTTCCACTTTTAATTATTGAATTAAAAAATGGTCTGAAAACACTTCCAAAAAGGATCTTAATCTAACAAATGATCTAAAATATCAATAAATCTGTAGTAGTCAAAATTTATAGCTCTTGAATAGTTGTGCACAAAGCTTTTGCTAATACTTACGAGGCACAATTAATGCATATTTAAGCGAAAATAAATCTGAAGTCTTTCAATAGTGAAACCCAAATCATTTTGCCATTCAGTAATAATAAATTTATAGCTAATAATATACTTTATTAATGCAATTACTTTTGTTCTAACTTGAAGAGAAACGAAACGAGAAGCGATGCTTGTTCTTTGGGTTGGGCCTCTTTGACATATCTATAATATCTATTTGTATTATTTTTCAGGTGGAATACAGCATTTGAATTCATTCTTCGATGAATTCGTTGCAGCGAGTGTCTACTGTATGCATGTGTGAAAGTGCCCGGCTCCGTTATACGAATAGGTGTGTGTGTTTGTAAGTTTGTGTTGAAAACAATTAAGCAGACGTTGCCATTGCATCTGGAGCTGCTGTCTCCACAGTTGCTGTTACTTCTGCCTCACCCGTGCTGAAGACTTTACTCAAGTATGATAATTAAAAGTTGGTTAAATGTTGCATGAGTTGCAGCTTGCCCCCTAGCCCCCTTGCATTGCCACCCCCTTCCACCAGCACCATCTCCAGCTCCGGCTCCAGCGCCGGCTACAGCTCGCCGGCACTTTTGCACATTTGATTGCACAGCCATTGGCAAAAGGCGGCGGCATGCCGTATGAGTGTGTATGTGCACACAATGCGTCTTTGGGTGTGTGTGTGTGTGAGTGTGTGTGTGAGGGTGATGTTATGTGGGTGTGTGCCTTCATGTGTGGCGCTCACCTAGCGTGTACATTTCGTGCTCTGCAAATTTAAACTGCTCCTCATTGCGTTGCACATTTCAACGCTTTGCCAACGTCGTTGTCTCATTACTTGCTGGCTTTTCTTTGCACATGTTTTTGTCGTCTTCCGCCTCCCCCACCCACCCCATCCCTAGCGCTGTGGCATGTGCAGCTTAATTTTCACACACCCACACACTTATGCACCCCATAATTTCATTTCAACATTGCTGTTCCCGTTGGCGGGCGGAAATCAAAGTGCAAATGTATTTTGTCACAAATGCTGGCAAAGTTTCCGGCATTGCGGAAATGTTGGAAATATTGTAAGAACGCCTGAAATTAATGCATAATTGCATTACTCACCAGTGTGCGTGTATGTGTCAGTGTGTGCTTGTGTGTGTGTGTAGGGGCCTTTCCCGAAATTTGCTACAATTTATTACCAAGGCGTTGCGCTCCACCTTGTAGATGATGTAAGTACGAATATGTATATGTGGATGTGAGGGTGAAGGTAATTGTGTGGAGCCTAATGTCTTAATGATGAGCTGTTGAAATTGTGATAGCTGGCTTCTAGTGTGGACGGCATTATGTTGAGGAAGTAATGGAATGATTACAAATCAGTTGATAAAATTAAATTAAAGGAATATGAGCTGAAGACCTAAATTGCTTATTCTGATATCTATAATGATGATTAGCAATTTTGACAGATAATATTGTTGGCATACAAATATGCATACGCATTTGCTAATGGAAAGCTTTGATCTGAATAACTTATAGACTCACTACCTACTTTGTATGTAAAAGAGTTAATGAGAGGAAGAACGGCCAAAAGGTAAGCCAGTTTATTAGCCTGAGATCAGAGGAATGAACTAGCCTTATCACATGTTTGTTGCCAAGCTTATGTGGCTACTACCAATCCAAGATGCCTCGACAGAAAAAGACATACTAATTGGAAATCTGACATTGACTATCTTCTCAATGACCGTCTTAAATTAATCACAAAACGACTCTTTATTTCAGCAGAAAAGAAAGATCGAAAAAGACATAGCACTATGGCACAACTGAGACGTAACCAACCAAACCAACAGCAACTGAATTGCATTATTCCTATAGGATTTCTTAACATCTAGACTGTATATGTTAGATCTGAAGTAAGCTAATTGGATTATTGTTTTAGCAACTGACGGCGTCTGATGGCATGCTCTCAAGCCTTTTTAAGTATCGTACACCTGGGACACACGCCATATAGAATTATTTAAATTATTTGTTGACGACTTTAAATTTTGTTTGTTGAAAGCAACTTATTTTTATTAGTGTTATCGGTTTTTTTCAATTAATAGTAAATTAAATGAGCCCCAAATATTTTTTAAATAATATTGATTGGAACATATTTTGTATTAATATCTTATACAAATTTATTTTTGTTATTAGTGGAAAAGTAAAATTTGTATCGCAGCTTTTTGTTTACTCCTTAGCTTTAGTTTAACATTATTTTTTGCAGTGCATGGCAATGCATTCGCTCTTTGAATGCCAAATGCCGGCCTTTGGCAACATTCCGCGCGTACTCGCTCTCTCTATCTTTCTCTCTCTTTGCTGTCCTTTGTATATGTTTCGAGTGCTTCGCTCTCTCAGGCAGCTGAGCTTGGGGTGGCAGA